AATTATTGGGTACTGTCTACGGTGGTGACGGTGAATTTACATACTTACCTCCGGGATGTATAAGCCTGGTGCAGTGGTTATGGAATAGTAACGCAAATGTTATATGGCAACTGCCCACCAAGATCCCGGTCTCTATTTAACAGAAATCATTCAATGCGTTTTCCATCCAATACAGTGTATAGAATTATTATACCAACTCATTTCCTCCCGAAATGCGCTCAAGTGTCTATTTTCTAGGGCTCCTCCGCCACACCGGAAACCATTCATTGCTGAAACCACATACTCTGGCCTCAGGAACACAGTGCCCTCTATAGTGTTGGGTTCACCTTGCGGTTCCTCCGATACCCCAATTTCTCAGAGGGTCCCTCGGTCCTTTGCGTCATCTTAAGTGTTTTCTCTCGGTCAATTCATCTTGACTCTGGGATCCCAGGTCTTTGCTACTTGCCCTTGCACGCGCTAATATTACTAGGCCGGTATAATCTCCGCATAACAGCAAACAACCGTTCCATCTGCCATCGTGATGCAGTTCGCTTCACGGTTGGAGGCGAAATGTGGTCATGAAATCATGAATCATTGTCTTCATTTAAGCAATACCCGCTTCCTTACCAAGCAAGCTTACCATGCAGAATCTACTGAACGGTCCACCCCTACCTGGCCTCGGATCTAGCTTAATGAATACACCAAACTCTGAAAAAGCCACCCGCTCCGTTTAATTTCTCGAGTGAAATTCGTGGGGTAAGTTGGTGATGAACGAACTCACAGTAATAATTGATAGGAGATATGTCAAGCAAGACAAGAGGATTTCGACTCTCGGGCCGACGTATTGTTATCTAGTTTGGAGGGCAACACAGGTCTTCCAGCTCGCGCAATGATGTGAAAATCTACAGTCATTGAAGATACAACATACTACGGGCCAGAACGATGCTGTCTGTATGATTGGGATCGCTCCCAGAACGAAAGTCTATTGCACTTCCGTCAATTGTCACTCCAGTCTGCCGAGACAATCTCAAGCTTTTCGTCTGTCAAACTGTTCAATTTCGAGGCTTTACTATAACTTGGTTATTGGAGCCAACATGGCCGGTATCGACTGTCGTTGCCATTGGCAAGATGAACTTGGACAGCTTGCACGGTGGATCTAGCAATGATCGAGGTATGCCCAAGAACTAACAGTACGCCGCAGAACGAGCCATACGTGACCGATGTCACAGATGAATATTCAGGAGCGAGTACGAAAGTGGTGTTCTTTACTCCATTCCTCGGCTCATCCCTTAAGAAACCATCAGATGAAGTTCGCTCTCAGCATGCAGACTCAGCATTAGTGATTAGAGATACGACTGGAGTTCCTTTCCCCTGTCGGTGCCTTTGGCAAAGTCAAGGTGGTCTGATACTCACATGAAATGCCAAACCCATCACCTCAAAGGCCGAGGCGAACAAGATGTTCCGATTATCTAACCGCTCTGGACAATTAACTCACCTTTGGCGAGGTTCCAATACCGCGTTCAGTAGGCGTTATTTCGGCGTAGATGTATCAGAGCAAAGTCATTTGCACTCGTCATCTTGTCCCCGGATCAGACTACAAAATGCATGTGGAAGACTCGACAATACTACAGTGGAAACAACTGATCTCGTACGGGTGCTGAAGCATGTATTTCTCCCTTCTTCTCTCCTATTTCTTTTTTTGTATTTTTGTTTATTTTGAACTGTTTTATCTATTTGTTTTTGTTGCTTTTATATAACACTTTTACCACGAACTCGACAGGAGATCTAAGCTTCCCCATGTTGTCCAATCGCGAGGGCCTTGTACCTAGGCCTGCACATCCTGTGCCATGTTCTAAAGACCATCTATAATCCTCCAGGCAGTTATCTGCCATATCTTAACGCCATGTTCGCCACACTATCAATATACACGCTAAAATTCGAGGCACAATACTGATAATAAAGGAGAAATCCGTTGAGCTCGCCTTGGTCAGTTGATGAGTTTCCTTTCCGGATCTCGTTGTCCTGGCGAGCATGTTTTCCATCTTACTTTCCATCTTACAAGTTCTGACGAAGACGAGACCTAGTCTCCAAAGACAGTAGTGTCATCTTGGTCCATTTGGTCCATTTCCTTGGTAAACTCGGGAGTTTCCTTGAAAGCATATCCGGGATGGCCAACATTCAATAGAAGAACAGCAATGCACATCATGCTAATAACAGTCAGTAAGTTGTCACTGCAAACGCGACAGGCATTAATGAGCTCTTACCAGGATTCAAGAGCGATGTAGAGGCCTTCGTCTCGAAAGATAGCACTGAAGTATCCTCCATTGAGCTCAGCAATGCGGTAGCCGCATCGGATCAGGATGAAGATAGTTGAAAGGAAAAGAAAGAAGAGAAAAGTAAGAATGGGCTTCGTAAGGCGATATCGGGCCGGCGACTTGGAAGCCCTGATAACGTAGTCGATGAACAATGCAACGAAACAAACGAGAGTGACGACTTGGAAGACAAGACCAGCGATGGAGATGTCCTCTCCAGTCTTAACGTCGTCCTGCGCTGTGGAAACGACTGAGACTGCACCACCGACGGCTTGGAGGATGAGGGAGATAATGTCGGAAGGGATAAAGATCCAGTAGAAATACTTGGGAGGGAATCGAGAGACATTTGGATCGACGAAGTTGATGCTGAGAGTGTCAGTTGTGCTTCTTCTGAGTGAATTGAGGGAACTTACACTTGGGACAGAAGAACATAGATGGCAGCAGAGAAGAAAACGGGGGCAATGGTGATAAAGACTGGGCCAGAGTTAGTAAAGTTCCCCCTTTCCATTCATCCCTTGTTCGAATTTGAACTGGAAACACTTACTGATCTGCAATAGAAAGCCAATAAAGTCAAATGGATTATCGTGGATTATAAGTCGTCCGACGTAACCGACAATCTCGAGAATACATCCTGCCATCATACTCGACATGAAGCCCCATGTCTTCATCTTGATACCTTGGAAGATGTGGAGAGCCATGGACATTCCGAATACTCCGATGAAGATGGCATTGGCGGGAATGTTTGGTTGGTATCGCAGTATACTCGAGTCGAGGGGACATAATTCAAGTGTACAGTTGGCATCGGAGCCGAATGAGATAAGCCCGTCGGGTAATGGTGAATGGCTCATCTTTGCGATCTTCACACCGTCGTCGAGTTAGAGTTGACAAACTTTTCGGTAGGGCTGGATATGCAGGATCTGATCAAAGCTCGCTCTTGTTTACTGTTCGATTGTTGTTATGATATGATGGGCTGTATATCTGGGGAAGACAGCAGATTCACGTCTTTATAAAGCGGCAGGATTCAAGATTTCAGATCTCGGCACCCGTCGGAACAAATACCCAGGATCTGACTCCGCGGGCATAACGACCCAACTACGTCAACTCACACCACTGATCCTGAATTCCTATATTATTTCAGCTGCGGTGGAGAAGAAAACTCGATTGTGCACTTCAGGATCAGGTGGGTCCGGGTGCCCCGTCCATCCGGGGCTCCGGCCGATCGGGCGCCCGCGGGAGGCGGACGGGCGAAGTGGACATGGAACATGAGGCTGAGTTTTATAAAGTTCTATGAATTCCATTGATACAAGGAAGATTGATTAGCTATTTCTAGATTTAATGAGATTCCACGTCAGCATGGCATGGTTGGCACGAGTGTTGTTGCGTTAGAGTTTGTTGTGGACTGTTCATAGGGGTAGAGAACGTGGCTAGCCAGCCAGAAGCCATTGGATATGCAAAGATATATTGTGAAATTCGTTATCATTACACCATATCTAGTGATCCTAGCATGATTATCTCGGCAGTAACGGACATCTGTCTTGTCCGTACCTTGCATGATCTGGCTCGGCAGTGGTGACCGGATATACAGTCCATGGTGATGGCTGCATTGTGACAGGACACTAAGGGTCTAAGGCGATGTTGATCTTATTTTAGATTCATTTTAGCATACATATTGTTGTATTCGCACTCAGCCCTAATGAAGCATTGCCCTCACTGTAAGTCTATGCTTAAATTCTGGATATTTACGGCCAGTTTGGTCCAAGTTGTCAAGATATGTAGGGTAGGTTTGACAACTATGATAGATACTTTACAGCTCAAATCAGATCAAGAAATGACAATTCAACCAGTTGTCAGTTTGTGTTTCTTTATGACGAATAAAGAGAAAATAAGGACATTCTCGTGTCAAGTAATGAAACTCAACGGTTTCTCAGATATCGGTTATGTTGGTGCCGACTTGAAGTTGAAGTTCGGTCTCAGCCAAGCCGGAGCACGAGGCTTGGCCCGCGCCTCCGACCGGGCCCGAGTCATGCCGACTCCGTTGTCAACGGCAATTCAAAACCTTTTTAGCGATCCTTCAATTTGAAACTATTTATAATCCCGTCCATATCCTATCACTGATAAGATATTTTCTTGTTTTGTCTTTCCCCATTTTATGGATTCAGTCTTGCATAAATTTTCTTGCCAAGATCTTGGTTAAGTAAGACTCTTGTTACCACGCGTATCATGTATCCTCACCAGGCGACAGTTGCGGCCACAGACCTTGTGTATCTGCGGTAATTAGGTGTCCATTGCAGATAAATTGCTGCAGTTGGTTTGGAAAAGGTTGATGCCTAGATGCTATCCACGAATATGAAAACACTTGTCTTCAAGATACAGGACTCGCAACCAAGCCACGTGTACCAACTAGACAACTGAAAGAGTCAGAACCTTCAAAGATACCGTGTTCATTTTAGGAATCAGAATAAAAATCGTCATTGTGCTCAACAAAAGACACTCGCCTCTATCACGAGGGGCAAGTCTGCATTCAGGTGATCAGCTCTTTTGACTCGATGCTATTCCTCCATTTGTAGCACCAACTTTCAGTGGGTCACTCACTAAGCCATCACCGTCACGCGAAAAAAGTGCCCCGCCCCCGCTCGCGGGAGTTTCGGCGCCCACTTCACCCGCCTGCACCACTTCCATTTTCAGCTCAGCTCAGCTTCAACCACTAAACCTTACCTTCCTTCAATCTTATTCTATTACACCTACAATAAACCCTTTTTCCTCTTCCTTAAACCTCTCGGAGACAATTACCCCCTTCTCCGTTGGTCAAAACCCCTGTTTCTTTTCAGCTTTAACTTTCGAATCACGCACGAGGTTTCACCTCCGATCGCAGCCATGTTTGACCTTTTTCCTATGCTCTTATCGTAAGCTTCAGCCCTATACCTCTTCGTCATGAGGCGTCATTCTTGCAATTGCGATAACCACTTCAATCACTTCGCAACGCCAATGGATCTGATTTACTGACTATTCGCTTGTTCTGCAAAGTTCTGTCGCCTGTTATCTGTTTCCTATCTTCGCATCTTACAAAGCGCTCAAGACACATGATCCCACCCAACTGACGCCATGGCTGATGTACTGGGTCGTGCTCAGTTGTTGTCTTCTCGCTGAGTCTTGGGTTTGGTTTATTGTCTCATGGTATGTCTAAAACTCATATCGGACATCTTCTCTACTGACACCAGCAGGATCCCTCTTTACGGTTACTTCCGTTTACTATTCCTCCTCTACCTCATCCTCCCACAGACACAGGGCGCTCGACGTCTATACGAGGAATACGTCCATCCTTATCTTGAAAAGAACGAGACGCAGATTGACGACTTCATCGCAAGCGCACATGAGCGCTTGACTGCTGCCGGAATATCTTACCTCAAGCTCGCTATCGAGCAGTTCAAGGTCAAGGTCCTCGGTCTTCCACCATCCGAACCCGAGTCGCCTCCCCCCGAGCCTGCGCAAGGTTATACGCAGTCGCTTCTGTCACGATTCAACGTCCCTGCTGCGCGATGGGCTGGTAACAACAGCACCGGGACCGACTTTTACAGCCTGCTCTCCAGCGCCGTGGCAGCTGCTACGAACGCAGGTGGACAGTCGGCTGGTACGAGAACGGTTGGAGGTGAGGCCACAAACTCGGGCGCATTGATCCCACCGCATCTTCGCGAGTCTGGTGCTAGAATGGACTTCATCTCGGCTCAGCGCGATCGCTTAAATGTCCTGATCTCGGCACTTGATCGGGAGGCCCAGGATCTTCGTACCGAAGCCCAGCGTGCCCAGACAAGCACAGGCACTCGCCGCGATCCGATGGCCTACGGAGGTTATGATAACAACGAGGGAGATGAACCCACCCAGCGACCACCTAGTGGACTAAGCGCATGGAGTGGTATTAGCAAGAGTCGCAGTGAAACCGACTTTGAGAGGATCGACGCGGAAACTAGTTCGGATGAAGACCATCGTCAGGTGCGCCGAAGAAACCAGGGAGCCGGCACTAGAAATGCATCAGGCTCATGGGTTCCTTGGGGATGGGGCGGTGATGCCACATCGGGAGGCGGAGCGAGCGCCTCCGGAAGGGAAAGATAGAAGCTCCATTCTGGGAAGTGGGTTTTGAATGATCATGGGTCTTGCTAGATAGATATGGTGTTTTTTGACAGGGGCCCGTTGATATTCGAAGCGATAACTGCTCCAGTGTATATCTATAAATGGGAATTGGTGTACATGACCTCATTCTTCTCCAAGATAACCCCAGATTTTGGTCTGATGATTCTTGATCCATGCATTTTCCTCCAAATTACTACAGTATCGCTCCATGCGCCAAAGCCATATGTCTAATCCATCCGTATCATACACTGAAATATTTTGCCCCAAGATTCTATACAAATGCAGTTACAAGGGAGACATGACAGATGTCTAACAAAACTTGTAAGGGTATGTTGCCTCAGCGAGACCCTTCTTGTAGTAGAAAGTCCTCTTCTTCTTGGTAACCTGGTGCTCAACCCATCGTTCCTCTATATAATGCTTTTTGAACCAGCGGATATACACTGGATCCCAGAGTTCAGAGGCGATACCGAGATCCTTGCAGCAACGCATCAGGGCGTTGGACTTGGCACCCTCAATGGCGGCGGGGATAGATTCGGGGTTGAAGTAGTTGTTGTAACCCTGCGATTGTGAGACCATGCTGTTCTTGTTAGTCAATGTGATGCTATTAGAGATTTGTTTACTTACCGGCCGTTCACGATGAGAGCGTATTCACGCGTCACGATCTGGTTACCGACAACAACATCCCCACGATGGACCATTCCCCAACCCATCGGTCCAAACGCCTCATTCAGCCGCCGTCGGTACTTGACCTCTGGCAGATAGATAATACCATCGGGCTTGACCTCCACATCTTCAGCATCAACTGGTCTTGCGAGAATCTCATTCTGCTCAGGTGTAACAGGCTTCACACCAAGACCATACCAGCTCGTCTCCCAATTGATGTGCTCTGTGTTCTCGGTATCCGTCTCGCTAGTCTCGCTCAGAATGCTCTTCAACACTGCAACAGCCTTGTGCGGACTCTCCAGCTTAGAGCTCTTGCTGCTCGTCGTCGGCTTTGCAGGAAACGTCTTAGGCGCAGATGTCGATTTCGCAGGAGCAGGTGTTGACTTCGCAGGTGCTGGCTTCGCGGGTGCAGGTGCAGATCTAGCTCTGGGAGTGTATTTCGGCTTTGTGATAACGTCTTCTTGCTTCACTTGTGTGACATCTTCAGCAGGCTTTTGCAGTGTCACGTCTGATGCTTCGGTGGCGTATCGTGCAATTGGACGAATGGATGTGGGGAGTCTTCGGGCGGCGAAGGGGGCGCGACGGGGGACGAACATTATGGGTTGGTTTGGTGAGTTGGATATGGTGAGCTTCAAGCTTGATGAAGCTGTGGTGATAATTTCAAGGACGGGTGGATAGATTGTCCGGTGGGGACAGTGTTAATACTGTGTATATCATATCATGATGCCTTGATTGAGTGAAGGCATCGGGTCGCCATCTTCTCCTAATTGCCCGAAAAGGAGATCCTAATTTTGCTAGTATACATTTTATACAGTAATAATACAATATTTTGCGGTTGTATATCCCCAAATGCGACTTCAATTGTCCTTGGTCTCTGTGCGCTCGTCGTTGTTATGAGCCTTCCAGCACTGTCTGAATTGCTCCATCTGTGATACTGTCAGTTCAAGTCTATGACAACATAAAGAGCAATATGATAAGATATCTCGAAAGAAATAAAATAAATCAGGTTTGGATTTATGATATGATACTCACTTCTGCAGCACAAGCGCGCCAATCCTTCTTTTCAAAGTAGCAATCCGTCATTTTTGCGTTCTCATCTAGGTTGGTCATGTCTGTTAGCAAGCTTTTTCTCAACAAAACGGCTGATGAGCTGGTGGTTGAGGCGTAGACTTATAAAACCTCACAGAGGCCCTATATCGTCCTTTGGATTTCGCCATCGAGTTGTGTATAAAAGGAGAGACTCACCAGCGCATCCAGTGCTAAAGATCCGCTTGTCCCTTCATCAGCGGTTAGCAAAGGCCTCGGCTTTCGGTGTCTCAACGGAAAAGAGCGCTCACTCACCATTCATCGGGTTCATCATCATCTTCTTGTGTGCTCTGCTGAGCCTTACTCTCTTCTTTTGTCATAATCTCGCTTGGTATTTTTCGACAAACTGTGGTGATTGAGTCTTGTGTGTGTTATCGTTGAAAGAGGTTAAAGGTGGTTCGAGCCGGAGATTTGGCTGAGGCGAGATCCAGCAAAAGTCAAGTGACAAGACTACACATACAGCGTCGATATCATCAGAATCACCCAAATACGGACAATGGCGCCGGCAAAGCTCAACGTACTTGTTTACACAGGTTCGATCCATCGTCTCCTTTCACTGGTTGTTACACTCACTGATTCACTACCAAGGCCTCGGCACTACAGTTGAGTCAGTGCGGCATTGTATCTGGTCCCTCCGCCGTCTTCTCGGCCCCAATTACGCCGTCATCCCCATCACCGAGAACATCGTTCTCAAAGAGCCATGGCAAGCAACATGTGCACTACTCGTGTTCCCAGGTGGCGGCGATCTCGGCTACTGCCAGGCATTGAATGGTGAGGGAAATCGTCGTATTGGCGACTATGTTCGTCGAGGAGGCTCATATCTAGGCTTCTGTGCTGGTGGCTACTACGGAACGCAGAGATGTGAGTTCGAAGTGGGAAACAAGCCCATGGAGGTAGTTGGGCGAAGAGAGCTAGGGTTCTTCCCTGGTACCTGTCGAGGTGGAGCGTTCAAAGGCTTTGAGTATCGGAGTGAAAGGGGAGCGAGGGCTGTGCGGTTGACGGTACCTAAAGGTGCTTTTGAACAAGAGGTTGCGTCTGAGATCATCTCTTACTATAACGGAGGAGGTGTCTTTGTTGATGCTGCTTCGGTTAAGGATAGAAAGGTCGAGGTTCTGGCTACTTACGATGAGGAGCTTGATGTCGACGGTGGTGATGGAAAAGCAGCAGTTGTTCTTTGCACAGTTGGGGATGGCAAAGCTTTGCTTACTGGTCCTCACCCAGAGTACGTCTCCATCTGTTCCCCGTCTACATGTACTTACTGACGCACTTTAGGTTCGCTGCGGCCAACTTGAATCCTCAGCCAAATGTCCCTGGGTACGATGAACTGGTCACCAAGCTAGCCGACGCTGATATGGAACGAGCTGCTTTTCTCAAGGCATGTCTCATAAAGCTCGGTCTTGAGGTCAGCCCTCACGATACAGGTGTACCATCGCTCTCCCATCTTCACCTCTCTTCCATTACCAACACAGGCGTATCCGAGCTATTGACCGACTGGGGCGACATCATCGACAAGGAGAACGGCGAAGAATGGATTCGAGCGGAAACGGATACCTTTCACATCCAGAATGAAGATACCATCTGGAGTCTCGAAGGTCTTCAGCAATCTCTGACGGAGACAACGGATTCCAACATCTCTGAGAATGGTAGCATTGACTACAGCAAGATCATCAAAAAGATCTTTCCCCACGAGAAGGGTCTTCCTCATCCCAAGCTTACACCGCATTTCAATCATGGCCTGTTCTTTTCAAGCTTAAAGCACTATCGACAGATTGAACCCACTGCTCGAGCATGGGGTGATTTGCTCATGTACGGCGAAGTGGTCACAAGTACCAACACCATGCTTGAGAAGTATTTACCCCCTTCGAAATAGGAGACTTGAAATACTGACGTGTACCAGAAACCCGAAGCTCATGCCAAAACTCCCAAGCGGCTTCACTGTCTCAGCTACCACCCAAGTTGCCGGTCGTGGCCGTGGCTCCAACGTCTGGATTGCTCCTCCTGGAATGCTCATCTTCTCGACTGTTATCAACCACCCAGCTCACCTCGCTGTGACTCGCCCTGTAGTTTTTATTCAGTATATCACGGCTATTGCTATGGTTGAGGCTGTGCAGTCTTATGATCGTGGCTACGAGAACATTCCCATCAAGTTGAAGTGGCCCAACGACATTTGTAAGTCAATTCCGCCACCTTGTAAGAGCAAGTCTAACATCGCTAGATGCCCTTGATCCCACAAAGTCACAAGAGAAACCGCACTACGTCAAAGTCGGCGGTATTCTCTCTCAGTGTCTCTATTTCGACGGCAACTACCAAATAATCCTCGGCGTAGGCCTCAACACCATCAACCCTCGTCCCACAATCTCCATATCCGACCTCGTTCCCTCAGGCGCACCAGAACTTCATCTCGAAACCCTTCTAGCCCGCGTTCTTACACGCATAGAAGCCATCTACGCTCAGTTCCTTCGAGAAGGGTTTTCAGCTGATCTTGAAGCCCGGTACTACCGTCACTGGCTACACACAAGACAAGATGTTACTCTTGAGGCAGAAGGTGGTGTCAAGGCTCGTGTAATGGGAATCACGCGGGATTGGGGAATGTTGAAAGTCGAAGAGATGGATGCTAGTGGGAGGTCGACAGGAAAGATCTGGGCATTGCAGAGTGATGAAAATAGCTTTGATTACTGGAAGGGCCTGGTCAGGAGGAAGGTGTGAGTGTAAATATGTGGCATCGAGGCGCTGGAAGTAGGCAGATATGCATTGACCAACGCTATCCATGTATATTACCACACTTGCCTTTCAATTACACCATGCCATCTTATGATCTGTCAATATCGAGAATCAAATCACAAACTTGTCCTCCTGAAAACTGTTTCACTTATGTGGAAGTTCAGACGGCGACCTAAACCCTCCTGTACCGACATCTTGGATCTTGGATGATCGTCTTGACCTTGGGATGGCAGACTCCTGCGGACAGTTGACTGTATCTCCTCTATTGCCGTCACATTAGGTACATTTTCTACTGACAGAGGTCATGGAGAGTGCGACAGCGTTTGATGGAATAATTAGACCCCTTGGTAAGGTCGACGCCCAGAAGAATGAGCAGGGAGAGTATCAAATGCATATCGATGAGCGCAGGGCCAGGTCTCAGAGATTGCGAGTCAATTCAAGGAGAAGAATCAAGAGCTAGAGAAGTACCTGGATCATTCATATATGTGTTCCCTGTCATCAGCTCTTTTTTATTAGAGTGATGCTGTCATCCCAAACATCAGATGTCGCTCAGTAACGAAGAATTTTCCAGATTATCTTATATATGTCTTATTCGGACTGAATACATGGCTATTGGGCTGCTTTTTGTTCTGGTACAATTGCCCAGAGCTGGAATTATGCTCTGGGTGTATGAATCTCTGCTTTCTGTTACTCACGGCCCTGTCAGGCCTAGCATCTAACCACAGATGATACTGCAGTTAGTCAATGTTAATCTGTTTCTTGAGTCGGCCATCGTTACAAGTATTTAATGTTCTAGGAGGACTGCTCTGTAACGTGAAATTCTTGACTGCTCGCTCCCTTCGCCAACGTCATCCTCCTTGGGTAGACACAAATACATTTTTCAAACACACAATGTGCTTCCTAATTACCGATCCTAATCTCACGTAAGTCTTCAAGATAAATAGGCTAGTATACTGGACTTTTACTCATTTTATCAACAGCATTGATGAACCCGATCTGGAATCTACCAACCTCAACATGAACAACCAAGGGGAAACACTGTCCGAGAATGAGGCTGCACCAATCTACCAAAGATACGGGCCTCGTGATTTCAAAGACCTCACTGATCATAATTACCCTACAATCCCTCCAGATTTCAAGCCAGTACTCACCATACCATGGACAGAGCGTCCTGACCAAGGCATCTCGAATCTCCCTGAGGACTTGACTGTTATTGAGAGATTCACCACAATCACTCGGCCAGAACAATCGATTTTTACCAGTGCTCCGCGAAGGCTCACCGCAGGTACCGAGATAGAGATAATCACCATTATTGATGGAACGAAGTTCATCCCCCCAAGCAGCACGTCAGACGTGACGACCCTCGGTCAGGGGTCAGAGAATACTTCACCTAAGGAGACTACTGATGTGCCTAGCTTAAGCACCGAGACTACTCTACTCAGTTCATCTTTTTATACATCGAGTGAAGAAAGCTCTTGGACTACATCATACACAACCGCCTCAAGCACAGAACTTCTACCATCCTCCTCTCCCGCAACTCCCTCCGAAACACCAGCTCTATCAGATGCCGAAATAGTTGTAATAGAAGCTGGGGCAGGTGTTCTCGCCGTGTTGATTATGATAGCCATCCTTTTTCTTATATTGTGGTGTGTAGAGAGACGAAAATCGCGATGTGAGCCGCGATACGAACCACGACATGAACCGCGATATGAACGACCAGGTAATTTCATTTTCAACAATGTATCTCACAACCGTGTGGAGGTACAGCCCCAACAACCGGTTCTGGACAATGGATGGAAAGCTTGAAAATATTCACGGCTCATGGTGACATTGATTTACAAGGATATGATTGAACATGGATGCAGAGCCTTTCCATAGTTTCTTTAGTTGCACAAAATATCATTGCCTTTTCTGAGTCGATACATTATGCAGCCTGATTACAGTCGGATCTATCTGCTCTCGTCTAGTGACTCACAACATATAAAATGCATCTTGTCATTAGATTGAAATACCTCGAATCACCTTAGTGTGCCACTTATATATAGTCCTCCAAGACACCTCCTGTCGTGTTCGATCTCTTCTCAAACTTCCACGAGAATTTGTCAAACTCCCCAATCATCGAAGTAAAAAGCCTGGCTCGTGTCCCTTCTTTCATCGACAATATCAACATCTATTGGGCCATGAAGAATCAGGAGGTCTCCACTTCTCATGAGACCGGCGTCTCGTCCAACAACCATAATGACCGTCGAGAGCTGGTGGACTTGACTGGCAGTGTCTACAGCACGATTCCATCTGGCTTCAAGCCAGTTTTTACATTTGCATCAGAAGAACTCCCAGGCAAAGACAGAGAGGATGTAACAGTCATCGACAAGGTCGATAGCACTTCCACCAAAAATGGTGAGGTAGTCATAGGTACCGAGACTTGGGAACCTTTCACTTGGTATACAAGGCATAGGCAAGAGATATTCACTCTGATCTTGCGCCCTACGGAGACCACGAGCAGCGATATTGATATACTCAGTATCATCAGCCATTTGACGCTGCCAGGTCCAACTCCGACAACCTCTAGCGAGGAGTTGACTTCAAGTTCGTCGACTTCACCTAGTTTGGCATTTCCAACTGCTGCTGAACCTCCAAACACCTCTCTATCAACAGCCGAATGGGTCTTGGTATTAGCCGCGGCCTTATTTTTGCTTTTCCTGTCCATCATGGCGACCGTGTTCATGAAGCTCCGTTCACATCCTAGACACAATCAGATCAACAACATCCAACTCGACAACGCTCCCTTTGAGAATGCTTACACAGAGCCTTTGCAGCGTGAAGAGCCAGCGCCGGTGGTTTGGAAGTCATGAATGATTGCGCGGCATGGGAATGATTCTGGTTGTACGTAGGTTGACACAGGTGCAGAGTCTGATGATAGCACTTATTAGTTACACAAATAGCATTTATCTCTCACTGATTCAACTACTATTGATGAGTCTGTTCACAATTATATAAGTTCCATTACCCAACAACTCACAACGAATGACTACCTTGAATCAGCTCAGCATGGCGACTATATACTGGAGCTCTGGGGGCTTTCTCCCGGGAGCGATCTCGACGAACCATAAAAATTACAGACTGCTTTTCTCTATTATTACAAGACTTCAAATGAGAGCTCAAGATGCCTGTTCCTTTTCCCAAATTCGAGTACATGTAAGTACAACCGAGCCCCTGGATTCGCTGGACCCCCTGACATTATGGCAGCGACGAGACTCGAAGCCAGTCTCCTGACCTCGAAACGACCGAAAATAAGGAACTCGAGCATGAAGAAACCTCCTATATCCACAATGAGCCCCGTATCTTCATCGATTTGTTAGGTCATACCTATAGCGACATGAAATCCAACCAGGAACCGTATTCCACCTACGCGAAGGTTATTACAATCCCACGCAAAGAGGCTCAAGAACCTGTGACCTTCACCTCAAGACACACGATAACCCTTACCTCGATGGCAACTTTAACTTCATTTACCACTATATTCGAAACAAAGCATATAGGTCCTGTCGATCCATTGCCCAAGGTCACTTCTAAGATCACTACCCATATTACAATAACAGCAGTGGAAGATGTTAAACCCCATTCCACGGAATCTGCTTGGACAAGTTGGTCAACCATATACCTCAACCCTCCGTCCCCTCCCAGCGTTGATGAGAGCACTAATCCATCACTTTGGAGTACTGTTACTATAAATGATACGATACCGCCCAGCTCAACCTTGACTACATTGTATACTACTAGTCAAGAACAGCCAGATCTACCAACAACTACAGAAGCTTCCTCTTCAAACGACTCTCTAACAACAGCCGGGGTAGTGGGTGTCGCTATCGGTGTGTGCGTCGTCCTTGGTATAATAGGTTTTTCAATGTATCGCTATCTAAAATACTGTCGAAACCGAAACGGCACCAATATCCGCTTTAATTTTCCCTACGGCGTGTCTCGATTCTCGGAAACTTCGCGATCAAATCCAACTCCATCGAACTGGACAGACAGTCGAGGGCTCAAGACTGTATTTGCCCCCCATCGCTCTACTGAGGCAAATATGCTTCTAACTACCGACACACGTTGCATGTCTTTTGATATCGATAAAGACGGATATAATAAGGGTTTGAAGTACTATAAAGGCGAAGCTTCTAGTTCGAGAAATCCTGCAGAATAGCAAAGTTTGGTATAAGAAAGTGTTTCTCAAAGCCTGATTTCTCTTCACATATGAGAAGCTCCAGTTAAACCTCGCATATAACTCAGACTTAAACTGTTTCCCTAAACCTTGACTACGTGTCTGAATAAACGTCATGTGATGCTGTGACAAACGCTACAATCTGCAGCAAACAACTGTCGTAGAGTTTCAACAGCTATGAGAGAATTCACGCACAAACTTTATCAACAAATGTATATATATATATAAGCCGACAGGCACAAGAATATAAAATGGAACTTGAGACGCAAAACATCTGGACATAGCCCTCATCTCATACGTTCCGCCCCTTTTTCGTCTTGATTCCCCCAAGATTATTCTGTTTGCTACGGCTCTTTAAAGACTCGAACAGACTACACTAACCTCTTAATATCCAAAGATTTTAATTATTTCAAACATCTTGCAAGAATGTTGCTTCTCAAGTTTCCCTTCCTGGCAGCCATGGCAATACCCGTGGCTGCACTCCGCTGCAAAACCGAAGACACAGACATGACGAGAAACCGCGACTGGGTGTTGGCAGGTTGGTAAGTCATACTTTCATCATCTCTCAAGACTATGCTAATATATTCTCTCTGTATAGTGGCCCTTGTCGCATGTATCCAGACGACCATACTTGTTCCTTCAGAACCCACCCGGAGATGCCCGAGGACGACACTGATGAATTTAAATACGATGAGGACAATGATGAAGGCTACAGAAGGCTTTGCGACGAATGCCGCAGTCAATATGGCCCTAAAAGACCAGAAAAGGTCATAACCAGCTCGATTACACTGCTCAAACTGCCCAAGGAGATGCCAAGCATCACGAGTATCAGAATAACACAGACGAAGCCTCGTGTTGGATGGTCAACTCTCCCAGGTCCCGATGATGGCACTACCTTTTCTTGGTTTACGAAAACAACAACGCATACCGAGACCGAGACCGAGACCACGACTAAAACGGCATCCATTACTATAAGTCTGAGAAAGAGTACAGCAACATCGATGGGTCTGCATGAAAGTACAGCAACGTCGATGGGTATGAGTGAGAGTTCAGCAACATCGGACCCAGAAGAGACCGACACTCCACCACCGTCAAAGAAGAATCGCTCCACTGGCGGTCAAATAGCCGGTATCGTGATAGGGGTTATAAGTTCCATCTTATTTACCGCTCTTATTGCTTGGAAATACCTTCAACGCCTCCGTCAGCCTCAGCCTGATCAGGGCCCTGAGGACCAAAGAGGTCATGCTGGTGCCGTTGGGGGCAGCTCCTTCGACGATTCAGACTCAGGGTCCGACAGACCCCGGGCCAGAGCATTGGCAGGTGTCATCATGGGTTGGTTCAACAGGAACCGGTTTCGATTTCCAATAGACGAGCCTGAAGAACCGGGTCCCCAGGTTCTAGAGGAACGTGTGCCCAGTCCGGGTTCTCCTCCTCCTATTCCTGTGCAACCAGGTCAAGCTCCCGCTGACGTAGAACATGCATACAGCCCACGTACTCCTCCCGCTATTCCTGAACATCAAGTCTGGACCCCTTCAGCTCAAGTGCCAGCTCAAGATCCAGCTCAAGATCGGACTACTTCGAGTATCTACAGCCAGGACAGCGGGTATCCAAATTCGCTCGAAATACCCAGGCCACTCTCAATTCACAGATCCTATCGTAGACAAGAAGAACATACGCTGCTTCATGGACGGAGGACAAATGGAGAGCCGGTGCAAACCAGAAATTATGGCTGGATTTAATCTTGGGATTGTGCTTTGGATGGAACAGAATGGAAGATAGTTTTGGTTACATTTGTATAATTGGTTACATGGGTATAGTTGAATCAGCGTGTTCACATTTCGTGGGTGGGAAAATTCGTGTTTTGATCTTCCAATGCAATTGCTCCTTTTCATGACTTAGCCTGTTTTTACACCACGTGTAACACCTAGAGGTGGCTTATAAGCCTTAGAAGAATCTGGCACTGTGAATGGCTTTATGTTTATAATAGATCAATACCCAATGAGGTGTGTTTCTCTTGGAGATGCTAAACTGTCATGATGAGCCACAAGACCACATTGTCCAATATGGCATGACCCTTCATCTCGACGATGCATTTGATGCCGAAATATACACCGTCAGCTTTACACCCCTGCATTTGACTCACATCCAACCCAAAAGTGCTCCATTGATATCGTACAGTTGTATTAAACATAAGATAGCATAGGTCGTCCGTCTTTTTCTCTTTCCTCTAAGAACCAACCAACCTCGAGCGGCTCATCACGCCACCGATAACCCAATAAACGCCGTGCCATGCCGCAGTCGAGTGAAGATGTACATTGTATACATGGAGAAAGTAAACTCCTCCCTCCCGTCCCTCAGAACTCCTTTACGAGGCCATCGTACAAGTGTCGCTTTTCCCAATTTTATTTGCTTCAGGAAACAGATCAGTCCTTGTAGACCTTGGGCTTGAAGCCCTCCTTGATTTCGGCCTCTTGCTCCATCTTCTCCCTTATAGGACCGATCTCTCGCTCGAATCGCTCCTTTGCTCTTACGATCTTGCTCTGAAGATAGAAACTGCCGCCCTTTTGAGGATCGTTGGCGTCAAACAGTCGCTTGTAACGTGACAGAACCTCTTCGACGTTGGCTTGTCCGCCAGCTGGGGGCTTGACGTTGAGAATCTTGCATGCCTCATCGAGGGTCATGCCGGAGGAGAGAGAGGCACCAGCGGATGTGTTGCCAGCTTTGGCCTGCGCTCGCTGGTACGCTGAAGCAGCCTGAGCCTGCTTGTAAGCGGCGACGAATGATCGACCGAGGATTCGGGAGCCTGTTAGAAAGGCTGTGACCACGAATTTGTGCGCCTGGGATTATATGTTAGCCGCCACTCTAACCAACGCGGCGATTCTTGAAGTAAAGAACATAGCGGGCATGATCCAAGACGTGGGCACATACCATTTTGAAGGATTATGGGTGATGTAGACGGATTGACTATCGGGAGGAAAGGTGGAGATATCGCTGAGAAGCGACGTTGAAATAGCGGCCCTCGTTCGCGACGAGGAAGAGGATCGTGATGGCGCTGCTAGAGACTTTTTCCCCGGGTGCAAAGTCGGCGGAGGCGGATCATTCCGAGGTCGGAATTTTGCACCTCCGATCAACCGGCAGCAGCAACGTCTGCCGCAGTTTAGCCGAGTAGTAAGAAATCGTTCCACCATTCACCGAGCTTCACCGATATATATGCCCCGCGATGGAGCTGGAGAAGAGAATGTTAGCTGATCGCAATGAGATGCATGGGTGTAAATTAATTTCGCGAATCAAGACTGAAACCTGTTACTGAATTCTAAACATAGCAGCGCACAGAGATTCATTTTCTCAGCTCTCGTACTTTTGTGAAGGTCTAGGAAGTTTTATTCATTGTAAGCACCCATTTCCATGGAAATGTATAGGGTATCTTAAGTGGATATTGGTGTAACTAATCCAACAACCAACTTCAGCATCACATCTCATACTCCACAAGAAAAGCTGAGATCATGTTTATGACACCTCAAGATGTGGCTGTCCTGATACAGCGTGAAGGGAGTGGAGCATCACCCGATACTTACGATGCCGCCAACGAACCTCAGGATGCCGTTGCGAAACGAACAACGCTATTATCTTCAGTAGTCGAGACTCTTAAGCAACGAGATCCTGCTTCGCTAGAGGCTACAGCCAAGGCATTGGGCGACGGAAGTCGAGATGGTAAGTGAAGCCCCTCACCGTTTGTGATTTCGTTAACCTTGACACAGTGGCATGGAGGCTACCCTATGGGGATTCAGGAATTCTCGAGTTCTTCCTTGACATTCTTGCCTCAGACGAACAGCAACCTCACGGTGTCAAAGTCCAGGCTCTACGTGTTACTGGGAATTCTTGTGCTGATACAGACCAAAATCGAGCTCGAGTTGTTGAGGGCAAATACATCGTTTCTTTCATCAAGCACCTTCAGGATACGAGCCTTGTTCCATACTTGATTCCTGTACTGTACAATGTACTTGTTGACTATGGTGAGTCTTAATGATGACATTCGATTGGGACAACACTGATATTCGTAGAACCTGCTCAACGTCTTGCTTCAGAGTCACGGCTCAGCAGTCATCTCATCACTCTCCTTCAGTCACCCAATCGTGCTGCCTTCAGCCCCCTTGTCACCTACTTCTGTAAGATCCTTGCTCTTCTCATCAAACAAGATGGCGAGGTAGCCGTTGCAGGCCCTGAAACCGTGTCGACCCTCCTCAAGCTGGCCGTCAGTCCTGACCACAACTCTGATATTGAGGACTTCCTCGCTCTTGTGTCGACTGCAGCTAGTTATCTTGCCAACGAATCCTTCCAAGAGCGACTCCTCAACTCAAAACAAGCAGACGTCTTCGTCAAGGCATTTTACATCGCACATACCCAATTCGACTCAGAGCTTGATGATGAAGATACTGCTAAGGAACTGGGACAGCTGTGTACTTCATTGCTTACAACCCTAGCTGATCTGACTGGCAATGACGCCTTCCCTGGTCACTATTCCCTTGAAAGCTCAGTGCCCCAGTCGTTTCTTAAGTGGTTGAAGGAGCCGCATGTCATTCTTCAGTCGGCAGCTTGTCTGGCTCTGGGCAACCTCTCCCGTTCAGATCAGGCTTCCACGGCCTTTTTGCAGAAGTATCAGGCTCATCTTCCTCTGATCGCAATTCTTTCCGACCCCGAGATCAAGGATGCCCAGCTTCTTCACTCAGCACTGTCTTTCCTCAAGAATCTCGCAATTCCGGCACAGAACAAAACATTACTAGGGGACCTGCTGGAGTCAAAGAGCGTACCAAGGATATTGACTATCGATACTCTTCCTCAGGTCCAGTTCTCGGCAGTTTCACTACTTCGTCTGCTGCTTGTGAACTGCCCAGATAACGTCCGTCGAGTGGTTACTCCCAGAGCAATCGATGGAGAGGGGTCTGGCAAGCATACAACTGTCCGCGATGTGATCTCGCTGTTTGATCGATCTGATACGGAACCTACCCGACTGGAAGCCGCACGGAGTGTTGCTACTGTATGCCGAGGTCTTCATACAGCACCTTCCGAGGAGGTTCTTTCAGGATGGAACACTGAAGATGATAAGACACCATCAAGGGATCTGTTCTATTCTGAACATGACCTTTCGCAAGTGCTGTCATTCCTCGTCACTCAAGAGAAGTGGCCTATTCTGAAATCTGAGGCTTGGTTCGTCTTTGCTCTCATGTCACGATCCAAGGACGGCGCCCAAGTTATCGCTGAAGTCCTTGCTGTATCTGGAGCTATGGATGCTCTTAGTTATGCAGTCACTGGAAAGACGACAAACGACGAAACACCACAGATCGAGGGCGGCGCCCCAGAAATTCCCCCAGCAATTCCTGAAGAGCTGGCACTGGAACCTCAGCAGGTTGATCCGAAACAACAGGCTAATATGGCCAAGGTGGATAGAGAGAATTGTCTGGTTTTGTGTACCGAAGTCGTCAAGAATGGGGAAACTCTTGAGTCAGAGCAAGTGAGTCGATTGCAAAGTTTAATTCGACAGGGTACAGAGTTGCTAGGGAAAAAGGCAGAAGAGTAGCAGAGTCCCGAAATACCTGATAGACACAAATGCTGGGAACATAGACTTCACATTACGAATCATTCAGACCATTGAAATCATAACGAGTAACTTTTAAAAAAGAGATACCATATGCACGTAATGCATCCATTGACCAAGTAATGATAGAGCAAAGCCGGTGATCATGCAGTAAATTTCTTGAGCTGGACCTAGAGTATCATTCCTCCATACCCGGCCAAGCCTTTCATCAGAGCCTCGAACCGACGTTGCCCATGTCTCAGAGACGCAAAGAGCAAAACCCTCAAACACCAGTTCCCTTTTTGCAAGTTTATTTCTTAGCCGACTCGGCCTCGGCGGCATCCCGCACACGCTTCTGTCGGGCACCCTCGTATCGGGCGTTGGCACGAGCGACACGGAGAGTTCGGTAAGCACCGGCCTCGATGTTGGAAGGCATGTCACCCTTCTTGATCTCCTTGACAGCGATGTCGGTGGGGGCAATGGGGAGAGTGGCGGAGATATGAGAGGCCTTCTCAATCTTGGAGACGTCGGTCTTGGTGTCACCCTTCTTGGGGGCGTTGGATCGGCGGGGGAGAAGGATCAATCGCTCCTGGTAGGCCTTGAGGCGGGCGACGTTGGCGGCAAGGGACTCCTCGCTGAGGTTCTGTCGGCGGAAATCGACAGCGATGCCGATGGTGGGAGCGAAAGCCTTGGGGATACCGGCCTCCTGTATGGTTGTTAGATCTGTATTTTTTTGTGGTGTATCTCGTGTCGTGTGCAGTCCACCGAGACGCATAAAATCATACCTTGAGCTCAGCCAGGGTGAAACCACGGCCGGAGCGGACACGACGGTTGTACTTGAGGGTAGGGCATCGCACAACAGGTCGGAGCTTGTCGACAGGTCGAGGAGCGAGGGCAGCAGCCTTGGCCTGACGAGCAGTGCGTCTCCGCGACTTCTTGCCGGGCTATTCCATAGTCAATATTTGTGTGCCAAATAAATTTCCAGAAAACCGAGATGAATCGTTTCTTCTCTTCTCGTCGGGTGTATCGTCATACCTGGTCGAAGTGGGTTCGAACCCGGCGCTGCCAATCCTTGCGGAAGTCTGTTAAAGGAGTCAGTCCCTCAAGTCCTCTATCATATCGTTATTCGGGGGTGGTGCTTCTCACGGTTGTTGACGAGCTTCTGGTTGTGCTTGATCGCCTGTAGTAAATCAAGTCAGCAAATGCGAATGCATTCGAGCGCGATGAATATTATCCATCGCATTGGGCGTATCTCCATACCATTGTGTCTGCTTGCGATCAACGTGCTCCGATTGTCGATGTCGGGTCGTGAGGCGTGTAAAATTCGGAGGGATGAGGCTTGTCAAATTCCAAGAAGGGTTTTCGTGCCCTACTTGGTGCTGCAGATTTAGTGGGGGGTTAGCGAGTTGCTCAAAGTGTGGATCACGTGCTAAGGGTGGGCTTGCAAATTCATGATCGGGAGAATGTTGCAGCGGCGCCGCCGGGATTTAGACGGGCGAGCTTGGGCTGGTTTGGTGTAAGTGATTCAGAACGGTACTGCACGCTGAGACTGTCGAAGAGTTGTAGGAGTCGCAGGCGTCTCTGTATATTACTTTGGCGATTCATGTGAGTAATTACAAGTGCCATATCTGCTGTTGTAAGTGTGGCAGAAATTTCACAAAGACGAGGGTTTGCATGCTTGATGGGAATTACTATTGAAGGTCTCAGTACGCTGAACCTCATTATCCTCTGAGTATGGAAACGATGCAATATCAAATCTTTGTGATATGAGATTCCCCCAAGTGAAAAATGGTTCAAATTGAAATATGGTTTCAGCAGCATTTCAGCAGCAGCCATTAAAGCTGGGATTAGCCATCGTCGTGTACACAAGACGGATGCTACCAGATATGAAGTTCTAGGGAAAGCTAAAAAGTTCTCATCATGAGGCTCCGACTGAAGAGAAGTCACTGAGGCTTCTGAAGTATACCTAATATGTACAATATGCAAAGGATAATCATGTAAGGTGCAGGTACTGCGCGAAGTCTCTCTGGAGCAGCAAGGTCTTTGTCAAATCGTCACTGGTCGTGCATTTCCAGCGTTGGCGCTAGCCACTGCAAACTCTCTCTCTCTCGAATGCACTCCACAACCACCAGTTGCGCGGAAGCAATCCCTCAGAAAATAATTTCATAAAATCTTAACCCAATTTTGTTTTGGCAGGTGCACACAGGTGCTGGCGCTGTTGCACAATTTCAAGCATCCACACAAAGTGGCCCCTGCCCTGCTGCCTGCAATTTCCCAGGCACGTATCGCCTCAGCATCAAGGCATCAACCCCTTCTCCATCTGCCTATAAAAGGCCGCTCTCCCTCCCTCCTCTTGTTCTGTTTTTCTTTTCTTCTTCATACTTACCTTGTTGAGAGGAGGCCAGCTCAAGAATTGGCTTCCTCAGCATGGAGGGCCTGCATTGCACATCGCGGAGTCACTCTATGCTCTATTGTCCTTCGGGGCCATAGTCGGCGGAATTTTTGATTTAAAACCACTTTTCATTGTGTTGATGGCTTGATGCTATCTCATGAAGAAGAGTCTTGTACCATGTTGATGAAGCTTGGTGATGTCGTGAGATGACGTCCCTGCTCTTAAGATTGATTGTAATCGCCTAAACCGTGTGTGACAGCTGGGCCAGGTGCGAAGTGTTGTCGCTCAACTCCAACCGTGAAACTATGAAGTCTCGCGATTCAGTTTTGTTGTGAAGTCCAAGTCAATATGGCACTCCTTAGTCTGGCGCTCCCAACCACCGTAGCTTGTGAAATGATGTGCCAATAATTCGATACTACACGACCCGTATGTCACTTGGTTACAGCATGGCATTCCGTGGATGTGAATGGTTGACAAAAGGGTCAGCTCCTTGTCATGCTTGTTTTTCTCGAGATGTGCCAAACAAACTGCCACGGTCATTACAAACGCCAGATCGATTAACCGTACATCTTGATGGCTTCATCGAAATATGTCCATTTTACAGTGACACTCAGTCCTCGAGAAGCACGAAAACTTCGTCCTTGAGGCAGGGTGCCAAAATCAGCTCATCAGAGAGTCTCCTCAGCCTCTGCTAGATTTGCCCAAGTCTTTTTGACGCTTGGGATCGAGGTCCCCAGGTAGTCGACATCATCTCTCAATATCTCCATCTTCACAGCCCACCATCCTCTAGCCCGAAGCTACTCCGCACCAATCAAATTCCCACAATTCCTACTCGCAGCAGTTCGAAAAATCTCATGACACCACTTTCCATCCATCCCGTCAACGGCCAATCCATTCGATCATTTCGCCCTGGTAATTATTTTCTCCGTGAAACAAACCCTCCCTCACGCAGAGACAATGGCTTCCAGGATGGGCCCTCGGAGCGTAAAGGACGCAACACGATTTACGTCCACAATCCCCCACGCTACATCGAAGGCCGCTCAGAGAACACCACGCATCCCAGGCGAAACACCCGAGCAGCGAGTGAGGAGACTGCGACAGGCTCATCTTGCTGCTCAGCATGCTAGCGTTAGCAAGACGGATAAGTTTATTGATGCTTCGAGGAGAATCTTCGATGTAGCGCATCGTTGGACGGTGGGAAGCATTGTGGTGTTCACAGGTACGAACGACTGTACAAAGGCATTCGACTGAACTCGCCAGCTGACAAGCATTTTAGTCGTTGCAGCTGTTGTCTCCGGATACTCTGTCTGGGATATGATTCGTTACAACCGCGCCCGCCGAGCCGAATGGGTCGAGGCTCAAAAGCTACTTGAAGCCGATGAGCTCGCCATGGCACGTCTCGCCTACATCAAGGGCGAAGCTACAGAGGAACAGATTCTCCTCGTTGAGGAAGCCAACCAAGCTGCCGAGGCAAGAGGCGAGAAACTACCGCCTTTGCTCGAGGCACCTTCACACCGCACACATTTCGAAGAACACATCAAGCCCACATTTAAGGAGAACACAGAGGAGAGTGCTACAAAGACGTCAAATGGAAAGGGTGTACTAGGGATTTTCTCCGGTGTGCTAGGCGGCGGGGAGAAGGAGGAGGAGTCGGCAGAAGGCCTCCAGAATTATCAGACGCAGTCAGTGGAGTCGGGAGCTGTCAAGGTGAGGTTGGAGGAGGCGATGGCAGCAGAGCGGGAGCGTCAACAAAATGGAGGCCCCCTAGACAGGTTAGGTGTTGAGCCTGTCGGTGGCTCAACTCCTAGCAAGTCTTGGTGGAAGTTCTGGTGATGTGTATAAAATTCTAATTGGAAAGAGGAACGAATGGCAACATGAAGGAAAACAAAGCGGAGTGTATGTGGTGGGACCAAAAGGAGTGTATCATATGTGTAGATTGGCAGTGCATTAGACGGCGTCGGAGGACCATCTTGTATGTACCATCAGGGAACAAGTCTACTTACCATATCTATTCAATACCAAGCGATCAAACAAGCATCACTATTTCTTCAAGTTGAGTGAGACAATGAGCTGCGAATGTCTCCATTACTTAAATTGACATTATCGCTATTCTGGTACTACCATGCATACCTGACGATCTGAAGATCGTATCGCTAACTTCTGATTCCCTATTTTCAGGGTGATAAATATATACCCATAATGACCAAATGCTACCCGTACCCGCTTCCCATTGCCTATAACGCCAGATAACAAAATGAAAAATGAAAGATCGTCCTGAACTGGCAGATTCCAGTCCGTCTCTTTGAAGGTCCAGTCAGAGCCTGAACCATGGCTGTCTGTGATAGTCTGAGCTATCAGATTGTTTGCATCACCTCACAAGGTAGCAAACTTCTCCACTCCCTGACGCCTTTACAGTGCAAAAGAAGGGCGTAGGGCTGCAATTTTCCGTTTAGCCAATGGAGGCAATTTCCCCCGAAACGACATTACTAAAAGCAAGTTTGCGCTTCTGTCGTTTCTCTCTCCAATCAAGCGGCCTTACACCATTGTCCTATAGTGAAGGTTGTTCATCAGGATCCAGTATAATCTTCAACTTTCCCTAAGACACAATGATGTGGTTGAAGTGTCCTGGAACCTTTAAGCGGCACTTTTCACAGTCTGCTCGATATCCTATGCTGAAGCTCTTCTTCATGCCTGGTTGCCATGTCCAGTTGTTGACGGTGTGTCGGCTGCGGATATGGCCTCTCCTAGGAGAAGGGGTTGTTGGGTCACCATCACCATCAACTGAATTACCTGAGCAGTGGGATTCCACATCCATCATAGGATGTTCCACGTCATGGGGAGGTGAAGGCTCGACAGTCACATTGGGATGTTCCATACCGGGGGTGACAAAACCGTGAGCACTGGCATCAAATTGCATACCGGTAGGGGTGATGGGTTGGCATGCCATGGAATCGTCACCTTCGGAAATGGGTGAGGGAAGACGTCGTTCGTTCTGGATGGCTTGCCATCCTCCAACCATTGTGCGAGGGACACTTTGATCATCGCCGAAGCCGGTGTTTTGGTGACCGAGGTTTGCAACACCATTAGGGGTTGTCACAGCCTGTTGACCTCGAACCTGTGCAGCAAAGCTAGGCTGAATAGGCGTGGGCAGACGCCCGTTTGCGTTGTCAGATTCTTGGTACATCACCTCAAGTCGGCCCGGTTCATGATGTTGAAGTTGATTTGTCTGCATCATATCCATGTCGGTGTCCCCTTGTGACTGTGATGTCATGTTCGTCGACGATGGCCATTGTCGGATTTCTGGTTGAAGATGATCGTGGGGGGCGAAGCTTGGTGCTGGCATGGGCGAATCAGATTGCCATTGTTGCGTCGTTCTAGGATATGCACGGAGTGGAAGGCACTGGATACGTTTCTACCACATTTTAGTATTCGACATCATGTGAAAACGCCGCCGTGGCTGTGATTGTGGGAAACTTACGCTGCGATGCTCACTGAAGCTCATACCGTTGACATTAGCGAGCTCTTCCTCTTCACGGACTCGTTTCCGCTGATCGAAACCAGCATGCTGAACGGCAAACATTTTGTCACTGGTTGTATACTGATGTGTTGGAAAAGTAGTTGCGGTCAGAAAACACTGAACAAATCCGACAAGCTGGATCAAGTGATGTCGACCTTGCTGTCGGACCCTGGGTATTAACACAGGTGGAGACGGCTCTGCAATATCGACGGAAAAAGGTCCCTTGGAGGGTCGTAGTTACAATAGTAAGTAGTACCGCGGGGGTATCCGATGCAAGACGAGTGATGTAATGTAGTAACGTGATAATACGAGATAAAGCAAAAGCGTCGAGTCAGCGGTGGTGCTGCCGACAAATATGAATGCGATGGGATAACGTCAATGACAAAGCCAAGGTAAAGAGCAAGAGGTTGGGCTGTAGAGAGTTAAAGAGAGTTTGGTTGGCGTGGGCAAGTTGTTAGTGAGAGTCCGATTCACGAGGGAAGTGGCGGCCTGTCGTCGGCGAAGGAAGCCACGGACTAGGGTGGATCGGCTGGGCTCTGTAGGCAGCCTGTGGTAGCCTGTAATAGCCTGTGGGGGGGAGCGAAGCTTGGAACGCAACAGTAAAACTGGGTGGGCGGAGGCTGGGAATTGGTTTTTGGGCTGGTTGGGGCTGACTGTGACTTGAAAAAAAAAGGACCAACAGCAAATCAAAAGAGGGTATAAGGATGTGAATATCAGAAAATAAGTGAGACAATTGGAAGGAGCGGGGAAATAAGTTGATCTATAATGTCTTGGATATAGCTTGGGGGTAACCGGACGTTGGTGAAGGGCGAGGCCGTTGGTCGATAAGAATATGGGATGAAAGTATGAAAGTAAACAAAGGATAAAAAGAGGTGGTTGAAGATGGGATGCACAGCAATTGACGAATCGGATTAATTGAATAAAGGAAACAGAAAGAGTGAATGCTACTACAGCTTAACTAGAAGCTCAACAAAAGAAGATACTGAATTGAATTGTAATGATTGTCAAAAAGGAAAAGGGGTTGGTTGGTTGGTTCTGTGAATGAAAGTGCAAGAAATACGTAGTAGGAAGCCAAAAGTTTGTACCAACGCCACGGCGCACCTTGCAACAGACCAGACGATCCGATTCCAATGCCTCATGCTACTTGCCAAAGTCGTATTAGCCGTGGGGTCGCCGAGAATCCGAGCGATCCCTTGAAGAAACCGATGACTTAATCGGCACGACCCTTGAATGACGAGGGCTCATGCTCATGTTCATGCTATCACGAGTTACACGAGAAAAGTAAAGAGACGGGCTGAGTGGACAGCCTGGGTTAACAACAAGGGTCTCACGGACCAACAGATCCGCTCCCCGAGGCGAGGCAAGGCTCTCAGACGCAACGCGGTTCACCATGTTTGACGAGAGTTGTGAGAGTTGACATTTGGCAACGGAACTCTGTGTGTCTTGGTTTCAGCTATGTTTCGCTTGCTCGGCTTGGATCTCAGTGAGTGCGTGTTCTTCTGAGGTGTCAGAAACGGGTCTCGATTTGGCTCGGAGATGTCTGAGACAGCTTCTGCAGTTGGTCGATCCATTGCTCGGCCATTGGGTCATCCGAGTCGATGTAGGGTAGTAAGTATTTTGTGAGTTGTACGAAAACTCGATCGTCGAAAACTATCTGGGGGATGTGATACGAGCTATTTCTTCTTTAACAGTATCACATCCTCGTTTGCATGAATTACGATAAATCGTTGAATAATCGTTGGACGGTTTGCTGTCCCCCCTTTTCTCGGCGACGCACATTCCTTGTGTTGCTGTGATGAACATACAAACTTCTAAACGTGGGGAGATTTGCAAACAGCCACGATACCAACAGACCGTGTCACAATATTTTCACATACCGACGTCACCGGAAACTCATCCCTTGTCCCGTTTTCCCGCTATGTAATTCTCTTGGATATGAAGTCCATGTTACCTATTTCCAAAGGGTTGCTATTGATTATCGTATTTTGATTCACGTTGTTTTCCGAGACGCGTCTATTGGTAGGGAGAAGTAGACGGTGCTATCGGACGCTAGTTTCTTGGGACGAGACCCTTGAACCCCGGATCGAAATTATTACACTCCGTAGGCCCGACCATTATTGTCGTGAATGAACACGAGGGGGGATAGGAGTCTGGGAGAAAGGATCGTGGATACCCAATGGCTAGATATGATCATCTCAGAGAGAACTTGATGATATTCGAGTATTTTGTTTCCTCTGTCTTACCGCACCAACTCGCCAAGACCTAATGCAATACGACAGTGAACCGTGGTGCATGATGGATGGCCTCTCACAAAACTGCGGAGGTTGCACCCACGAGCTGAAAGGGAAGTGAGCGCGGCGGTAAAAGGTATCGCCCGTTTCTTGCATACAGCAGCCTCCGGCATAGGCGGTCTGCCATTTGAGCTTTGTTCCAAGGACATGTGATGTGTATTTATCTCAAAGCCAGCGACACATGTCTAATGTTCAGTTGTGCTGCTATTCTCAATATTTACTGGCCAGGCCTCACCGAGATGGATGTTGAGCTCTACCACGGACCCAGACCGGAGCCAATTGAGCTTAGACCATTGATAATTTCAGAGATTCTAGAACCCTGACGTAGTTGGCCAATGTATTTCGCATGTAACTCCCTGCAAAAAACACAACCCCTCGGTGGGGTCCCCTCCGAAGGACCTCCGGTGTGGTAGTGAATGAGTGGTGCGAGAGTCACCCTGAGCTAAGCTAAAAATTGTGTCTACAACCTCTCTCTCCATCTCTCTCTCGATTTTATATACTTGTTCCCTACCTTTTCAACGCACATCACCGTCTCCAGCCTCGTGGCGCTCGTGTTGAAGTTTCTTTTGACTCACCTTGGTCGCCTCCTCCGTTGAGCTTCACTGAAATACTATAACTCTTCCCGCCAAAGGTAGATCAGAATTATACCCCTCCATATCAAAATTTCAACTTTAGGAGAAGTTCAACAGCTCACATATTCACAATGCCTTCAGCCGTAAAGATGGTCACTATCGCTGCCGATGACACCAGAGGTTAGTGTTTCCGCTGAGATTGTTGTTCTTTTGAAAATGCGCTGTAGTTGGGTCGGAAGTTATGATACTTCCTGTGGCAACTCTGCTTGCGGCGCAATGCTTCAGTACCTCGGAGGTCGCACAGGGAGCTTCTTTTCTGCAATTGGCTCTCACAGCATTTCGAATTGCAACGATTCCCCCACGCTGTATTCGCAACACACCAAGAACTGTAGCTAACTCGAACCAGTCCTCGGACAGGATCCTCTGATCCCTCCCGCTCTTCTCACCTCCGAGATTCCTCTTCCCGAGAAGGCCACAAACACCGTTGTCAAGGGCCGTCAAGATGCTGCCGACATTGTCCTTGGCCAGAGCGACAGACTCCTCGTCGTTGTCGGTCCCTGCTCCATTCACGACCCTGCCGCTGCCCAGGAATACGCTTCCAGACTCAAGGAGCTCTCTGACAAGCTCTCCGACGATCTCTGCATCGTGATGCGCGCCTACCTCGAGAAGCCCCGAACAACCGTTGGCTGGAAGGGTCTCATTAACGACCCCGATATCGACAACTCTTTCAAGATTAACAAGGGTCTCCGCGTTTCTCGTCAGCTGTTCGTTGACTTGACCAGCAAGGGTCTGCCTATTGCTACCGAGATGCTCGATACCATTTCTCCTCAGTTCCTTGCCGACTGTATCTCCGTTGGTGCGATTGGCGCCCGTACTACCGAGTCCCAGCTTCACCGTGAGCTTGCTTCCGGTCTGTCTTTCCCTGTTGGCTTCAAGAACGGCACAGACGGTAGTCTTGGTGTTGCTATTGACGCTATTGGTGCTGCTGCTGCTCAGCACCACTTCATGGGTGTCACAAAGCAGGGCCTTGCTGCTATTACCCGCACCAAGGGTAACGAGCACTGCTTCGTTATTCTCCGTGGTGGAACCAAGGGCACAAACTTCGATAAGGAGAGCGTCCAGGCTGCTAAGAAGGTCCTTCAGGACAAGAAGCAGAAGGAGGCTATCATGATCGATTGCTCCCACGGTACGTTTCCTAACTACACCAATTGATTGAAATACTAACATGTGTCAGGCAACTCTTCCAAGAACCACAAGAACCAGCCCAAGGTTGCCAAGGTTGTTGGTGAACAACTTCGTGAGGGTGAGAAGGCCATCATTGGTGTTATGATCGAGTCCAACATTGGCGAGGGTAACCAGAAGGTTCCCGCTGAGGGTCCTGCTGCTCTCCAGCGTGGTGTTAGCATCACTGATGCTTGCATCAACTGGGAGGACACAGCCGTTGTGCTCGAGGACTTGGCTGATGCTGTCCGCACTCGCCGCAAGGTCAACCACTCTTAGAAGGTTGCACCTGTGGAATAGAAGGAGTCGAATACGAGGATTTAGTTCAAAAATGTTGTGTTGTTTTGGGAGTTAATGAATAGACCTAGGTAGAAAGGTCAGGTGATGGAAAAGTCGGCGCATATAGGTTGCATGGAAATTGGCACAATGCCTGATCTTTTTATCATATACCTCATGAATATTCCGAACATTGCTAAAGGGGTCAACTGACCTCCTGTCAACTTCAGATAACCCAAGGACGCCAGACTCCTCTACCGAGTGATGGAACCGCAGATACCACACCTATCCAAACACAGATGAGTACGATGCCATATCATTTATCGTCTCATCGGAAGTTCCCTTGCATGGGAGCATAATTGCTGCCCTGTCTTCCAAACGTAAGCCCCTGGCGCAACGCCACAAACTTCTTGAACGCAGCCCAACCCAACAATCCAACAGTGCCAATAATGAAAGCCCATACGATGATCTTGTCTTTGTTGCTGTCACGCTGAAAGCACATAGTCGTGACGTCCTCTTCTGTCGCGTCCTTGCAGAAGTCAATGCCCTGCTTGAGACAGAAGGCCTTAGTACATTCGGAGCATGATTTCGATTTCGAGCGTGGTTCGAGCTGAGGAGTTGAGGAATCGAGAACGGCGCGACGGAGCTGGGATGAGGATGTTTCGCCTTTAGGACCGAGGGGGATAATGGTGCTGTTCTTAAAGCATGTACATTTACAGAAGGTTGGCGCGGCTGGAATGTGTCAGCTTTGTTCAGTGTAGATACTCGTTATACTAACACGCTGCGGTGAGCGAGACCAAAGCTCCTAGCAGGAGGATAAACAAAGATATTCGTGCCATTGCGGCTAATCTTGGGCTGTGGATAGTATCTTATCGATCATGAAGGTCGCACGTCAATCACTTGAGGCTATCGATAGTTGACAACAGGTGGGTCAACCACAGTACCCACTTCAGCCTCGTAAACTCCCATTGGCCAATAGAACCACACTGGAAAAAGTTCCATATTGAATTCGGTCTCAAACCGTCCCATCATCACGACTCTTTCGGCTTCCCCTCAGTCCGCCGATTCATCACCTCAAAATGCCTCGAATACCGCGGGTAGGGGCTCTAGCCTCTCTCCCATCGACAGTCGTCCCCGTCAACCGAGTCCCCTTCGTTGCCCGCGTCGCCTTCTCAACAACCCCCGTCCACGGAGCCGGTCGCAAGGCCGAATGGCTTCGAGATAAGCTGTGGAAGGGTGAAGCTCCTGGAGGCGATGATCCTTATCAAGAGCGAGTGGAACCAGAACAGACTTCAAACTTGCCAGAGGAGGCCTTGGATCTATCAAATGTCGACCGCAGACCCTACCCTGTGCGCAACACTCGTCTCGTGCTGCCCCTAAGCCATTCCGAAGCTATGACCGAGAAGGAAGTCGAGTCTATCGACACCGAATATACGCCTGCGACTTCAATTGATGATCTGGAGGAGATTTCACCCGTCAAAACATGGTGGGACCAACCAGGCCACTGGGGTGAGGAGAGCGAATTCCAAGGCTTCGGCAGTGCAAACCGAGTAGAGGATCAAGCAGTTATGGAGATTTACGTTCGTCAAGCTCTGGTTGAGTCACTTTCGTACCAGCAGCGAGGACTTCTTGAGGAATATGCGGCTAAGAAGTGGCCATTTGGTGACAGGGCTCACCTGGACCGAACATTATCTGTGGGAATTCGATTTAAGGATGGAAAGCCTCTTCTCAGCACTCATTGGAGTGTTGTCACAGAGAAGTTGAAGAATGCTAGGCCCGGTGAGGTTGAGGAAAAGGTCGAGATTTCTCCGGAGGAGGCTCAACAGATGGTTAATGCTTTGGACCCCTCATGGAAGACCGCCACTCTTGACGATGACCACCTCAAGTTTGCTGTATGCCTCCCATCTCTTGCCAGAAGTGACTTGTACTAACAATACGCAGATCCGCAAGCGTCTCTACCAACTCACAGGACACTTCATTCCCGACGTCAAGGTCGCTGCCGCCCGCACACCTCAAGAGCTCATCACTGTAGCCCTAACATTCGCCAAGCGGGGCAAGAAGCTTGCCGAGGTTCTTGAGGATCAGAAGGCCCTGTTCACACTTCCTAACGTCAAGGTGCACAACAGGAGAGTCACACCTATCGACCGTGAGGTTGCTGTTGGTCGATGGAAGGTTATTGAGGAGGAGTTGCAGAAGCGTGATCTGCCTGTTACTGGCACAGGGAAATATGGCAAGAATAAGGAAAGGGATTGGCTGACTGGTAAGGCTTAAAATTCATGTGAGGTGTATGAACAGAGGTGATGTATGACTGTATATCTGTACATGTATAATAGACGAACAAAGAAATCTTGCATCATGTTGTTATACTCTTGATGTAATGCAGCAAGCTGACCAACTATATCTATCTCGAGATAATAACCCACACAGCTAATATCCTCGACTTCTATTATTGTACAGGAACAATTTTGGAGCACGTTCCGTGGCGCCTCTTCTGCATGATTATACGAGGACAGACCACATATCGGTGTAGCACAAGTATATAGCATAAAATTCGGAATGGTAAAGATGGTTACTTGTTTTAACTTGCTCATTCATGCAAATGCAACCATGCTTGAGAATCTCGTCTCACTTCTTTATGCAACTAATTTACAGGTATTTGTTCTTGCGTAGCCACTCCCTGACATCCTCCTTATCCCTTGCAAGCCAGTTTTGCTTGGCGGTCATAGAATCAAGACTCTGCGCCAGCTCAAGATCGAATCCCTTGGTGCCCTTCTGCTCAAAGAAGCTCTTCACGTCGGAAATCTGGTCCTTCTGTGTGAAAGAGCTTGTAGAAATAGCGACCATATCGCCAAGGAGTGACATGCCAGGTGGGAGCCGCTTGGTGAGAACGTCCCAGTTGTCTTTTACCCATCCCCAAAGAGCCAGGATACCCTCCTTGTGAGCGCGGAGACCGCTGAGAGGCATGTAGATGTCCTGGGTCTTGACGTTGTCGGTGAGAGTGTACTCCAGAGTTCGCTTGATAAGAGTAGGATCCTTTGCAAAACCAAGCGATCGGAGAGCAGTGTTTCGCTCGCTACTTTGCTTGGCAGTCTCATACTCCTTCAAAATATCATTGTACTCCTTCTCACCTCCATATGTAACCACAACAGCGAAAACACTAGGTCGCAGATTGGGCTGTAGGGCATCTCGATCACCATTGACGAACTTTTCGAACAAGTCGAAAGCGGCCTTCTTGGTAGGCTCGTCCTCGACAATTGCGGCCTTACCGAACATGAGAGCCTTCATTCTCTGGGCAGTGAAGTCATCCTCGTCAGAAATATCCCAACCGATCTCGTTAGCCTTCTTGCTGACCAGATCCCTCTGGAAAGTTTTGAGAGCCTCATTGACATCATCATCTTCAAAGATCCAAGCATCACGGAGAGATCCGACACGGAGAGTGATCTCATCCCAGACAATAAACTCGTCTTCAGAGTCAAATCCTTGGAGGAGCGACAGCAAGCCAGATGTCTTCTGGTAACCAGCAGCGGCAAGGGCACCAGCATCAGCAATCATACCGGCCCTATCTTCAACACCTAAGAGACCCGCCTTGGCGTTTTGACCGAGCTTTTGAAGTCGCTCGCTAGTATAAGATGTACGGTAGATACCAGAATGGCCAGAGTTGACCTTGTAGAAGTCCAAGTCAGGCACCTTGAAGTCGGCCTCACGTGTGTTGAGTGCCAGATCTTCCTGGATACCGTCCTTGGTTCGAAGGTTGAGGAAGACGGGGTAAAGGACTTCATCCTCCTCAGGCTTGACGTCGGCCGTTCTAAGGAACCGGTTCTGCTTGACATGGATTGTGCCCTTGCTTTCGTCTTCTGTGACTGCTACGACTGGGTAACCGACCTTCTTGGTCCAGATGTCAGCAACGCGCTCAACATCCTTACCACTGGCCTCACTGAGAGCGGCCCAAAGGTCTGTGGTCTCAGTGTTGCTGTATGCATGCCTGTCGAGGTAAATTCGGATACCCTTCAGGAAGACGTCCTCGCCCAAGAATTTTGAGATCATGCGCAGGACGCAAGAACCCTTCTCATATGAGATAGCATCGAATATTTGGTTAACCTCGTCCGCACGCTTGACGGGCACTTCAATGGGGTGAGAGCTGCGCAGAGAGTCGAGGCCGAGGGCAGATCGGAGATCCTCAGTAACATAACCTTCCCAGATCCTCCACTCGGGGTAGAAAGCGTTGGAGGAATACCAAGACATCCATGTCGCAAAACCTTCCTTTAGCCACAGGCCATCCCAGAAATCCATTGTGACCAGGTTGCCGAACCATTGATGAGCCAGCTCATGTTGCACGACCTCAGCCACGCGCTTCTTGGTGACGGCGCTGCTGGTCTTTTCATCCAATAGAAGATCAACGACTCGGTATGTGATGAGACCCCAGTTCTCCATGGCTCCAGCAGCGAAGTCAGGCACAGCAACCATGTCCATCTTGGGAAGAGGGTATTTGCTGCCAAATTGTTGCTCGTAGAATTCGAGTGTTCGTGCAGCTAGCTCGGCGGAAAAGACGGCATGGTCAAGGTCTTGATCGGGAGTACACCAAACTCGGATAGGGACTCGAAAGTTGTTGGTCTCGTAGTGCTTGAGGTCACCAATGACGAAAGCCAGAAGGTAGGTAGACATGATGGGAGTCTTGTTATAGGTAATGGCCTTGCGCTTCTTGCCTGTAACCTTGGAGTTGACTTCTTTCTCAGAAGCAACATCCATGTTACCCAAGCATACCAGATCCTTGTCAGCAATGAGTGTTACGGTAAATGTCGCTTTCAGAGCTGGCTCGTCCAGACAAGGGAATGCACGGCGAGCATCGGTGGCCTCGAATTGGGTGGTAGCAAGGTATTTGGTGTTGCCATTTTCATCCTTGTATGATGACCTGTAGAAACCTGCCATGTCATCGTTCAGAGTACCGGTGAAACGCTGAGTCAACCTCGCCTTTTGGCCAGCGGGAATCGTCTTATCGAAGTTAACGGTGGTGGTTTGGGTATCCTTGTTGTAATCGAGGGTAGGCGAGGAGCTAACAGTGGCACCATTGGCTTCAACGAGTGTCTCGTGGATATCAATTTCGACCGTGTTCAGGGCAATAGAGGTTGAATCTTCGACAACATCGAAGTCGATGACGACGGTACCTTCATACTTGAAGGTCTCGAAGTTTGGCTCGAGGGTGAGATCGTAGTGCAGGGGCTTGACATTCTTGGGAAGAACCTCGCGTCCACGACGTATGTCGAGACTCGCGCTAGCGACGTCGTTTCCGTTGCGATACATGGCTCGTCGACAAGAGCAGTTGCGCTGCTGCTGACGAGGGACGAGAGATGAGACTTTTGAGTTGTGAAGAGGTCGAGGGAGAATCGATCGAGAGGAAGAAGCTGTGGTAAAAGTAGAGGAGAGAAAGGAATGTGATTGAGAGCGGTGAAGAGGTTGATATGGTGTTGTTATAGAAGGAGCTGACCCGTAAGTTGAGGCTCTAGCTCTTGAGCTGATGCGGGGGAGGGGTCCTGAATGGAAGGTGCGACGGATCATCGGCAGGTCGGCATCGTAACCTCCGGGCTTCGTCAGCGCTGAATGAGGAGCAGCGGGAGCAGGAGCACTGAACGGCAGGAGAGCCCGCCGCAGGCTTGAAGATATCAATTGATTCTTCATTGAGTCCTCAGCAACGCGAAAATAATCTCATTGCACCCTGAAAAAGGAAACAGGGTTGCAATTGCTCTCGAAGAAACACATTGAGTGTGATTCGGAAGATTTCGTGCAGACTGGACCACACCCTTGGATAAAAAGCTTGGGCCATGCATATTAATCGCTAACGAGCACTAAAATAGATTGATCAAGTCTTCAATTCTCGTCTTAACTTAGACCTCTTCATCCTCATTTACCTAAAATTTCAGGACTTTAGTCCTAAGTGTCAAAAAGACTTAGATAAGTTTACCTAAATTTACCGCAATTCAGTATAAACTTGGCAGGCTCTTTGACTATAGTACCTAAGGAAATTTATTTCCGCAAGAGAAGAGTATTACGGATATCTTTTGACACCCCGAGGTCCACTAACAGAGCGGTCATCATACGCTTATTATCGCTAGAGACGACAGTACAATGTGGTGACATTACACATTCTTTATTCAATTTTATCCATAAGCCGAGAGTATTAGATACCGAGTGCCTCCCTGCGACTCTTGCTATTCAGATCAAGATAAGGCGCTTCGCCAAGACTACAAACTCGATCTCCAGCTCTCGCTTCCTCATAATCATACGTCGCGCAATGGAAAGTTGACCTATTATCCCAGATGGCAAGATCGTTCTTGCTCCAACGATACCGGACCTGGGCATCATGGTTCTGTGTCACTAGGTTGAAGAGGTACGCGAGTAGTGTATCGCTCTCATCCTTTGACAATCCATTAATGCGCTTGGTGAAGCCCTTGTTGACAAACACTGACTTCCAGCCTGTGACTGGGTTTGTTCGGATAAGAGGATGGACGGATGTGAGGTTCTCGCCTTGATTCAGAGGAGAGCCACGGATGCCCTTACGGATTGGGTTACCGAGACGTCGTGCCTCGTCGTGGAAGAAGCTGGCGTCATGAGTCGCGGTCAATCCTTCGAGGAACTTCTTCATAGGGTCTGAGAGTCTATCGTAGACCTCATATCCGGATGCCCAGAGCTGTTCGAGGTTAGCAAGATGAAAGTGACAGCCGAGAAGAACAGAACCAAGCAACGTGGGCTGCTTGAACCTCTGAGTGGCAAAGACATACCGTATCACCACCCGTCTTCGGTAGTGTGTGAATCTTGAGCATAGCATAGTCTGAGGGGACCTTCTCAAAGGTGATATCGCTGTGCCACCCAGCAGATGCATATCGGCTTACATCGCTGAGCTGATGTGTCAAACCACCTCCCTTCTTCTGCTTCTCACTTGAGATAACACTGATCTGATCACCCAACTCACTACCCTCTTCAGTCAAAGGATGCACATGCAAACCTGAGCTAGTCGGGCATCCAGCAACCTCTGTAAGCCGCAGCATAAAGTCCTTCATCTCTTCAGGGGTGACATCCTGGTTCTTCAGAAAGACAACACCTCGCTGAGAAACAGTGACTGCAAGGTCACGGATGTGCCTCTCATCCCATTTCAAGAGGTCCCGAATTTGAAGACCATTGTATTCACGACCGATGACAGGGGTGACGTCAAGCTGAGGAATGTCATCAAGACTACCCGTGTAAGTCAAGGGTTCTGATAGACGTGGACGGCTTTGGGCATCTCCGCCGACGATATTGCTAGAAACGGTCTCGGGTGCAGCAGAAGGCATGATGCAATATGTGCTTGAGTTCGAACAATATTTGTCAATTGATAAGAAAACGAGGGCAAACAGTGACAATTATGTGAAGCTGTATCCAAGCCGGAGTCTCTTTCGGAGGATAACCACACATTGATAAATAACAAGGGCCCGGCATGACGGGAATGAGTCTAACCAGGAATGGAATCTTCAGACCGTTACAGGCCAAACGTACAATGCCGAATCATTTCCCCCCGCAAAGACGACATCGGGACTAATGATGGCATGCTTGAGAGAGGAGAATTTCTCGGAGAATCTACCCCAGCTCTAACGAGGGGTTTGGACCAATCTCATAGCTGTAATTTCTACAAGTGCCCTGCCAGATGGTCACTGCATGATGCTCTGAATTCCTAATCCACCTGTTGCATCTCACCCGTAGAACCCTTGGCGGATCATGGCCCTTGACTATGAGAATTGAGTGTTACCAGATCTGGCTTCATGTCCTTATGGCGTGCGCGATCGAGCCACCCACCAAGGGGACTATTGTGTATACTACCTACCGAAAGAGTCTCCGGCGATAAACTATATCCATGGTCAAACTGTAGATGTCTCTATATATCTGACCGAGAACCCAAGTTTTAGGATCAATCCTCAGCGACGATCACTTCAATTGAGTCTCTGAATAGTCACCAAAACTTATTGAGTGAGATTCTTTGTTTACAATGGGTAATCCGGATATCGAGACGAGCTCGGCAGTTGCCCAGCGCGTGTCGGTGGAAATCACCAAGTCGCAAGTCGGAGTTGGCCGAGAGCAATTGTCAGATGCTTTGCCGCCTCATGCCGACTACGAGGGCGGCCATCGGTGGGATCCTTCGGCTACATGGACTCCTGAAGAGGAGAGACGGGCTGTACGAAAGACTGATCTCAAGCTTTTGACTTGGTTGTGTCTTATGGTATGTGCTGTTACTCAATTGGTGATGAAGTTGACTTATACGATATAGTTCTTTGGTCTGCAATTGGATCGTGGAAACATCTCCAACGCGCTCGCTGATGACCTCTTGACTGATCTCGGTTTGACTACCGATGATTATAACAACGGAACCACCATTCAGGTCCTTTGCTTCTTGCTAGCTGAATTCCCAGTTCAGTTCCTCACCAAGCGATATGGCTTCAAGCATGTTCTTCCCACGCTCATGGTTTGCTGGGGTCTTGTCTCAACCTTCCAAGCCTTCATGACCGGGCGAGCTGCTTTCTACGTTACCCGTGCTTTGATCGGTACCTTTGAGGGTGGTTTCATTCCCGGTGTCATCCTCATGGCGACTTACTTCTACACCTCGAAGGAGTTGTCTATTCGACTTGCCGCTTTCTGGTCTACTCTCAACATCGCCCGTGTCATCTCTGCTCTCCTTGCTGCTGGATTGATTGAGATGCGAGGTGTCAACGGCCATCCCGGTTGGTTCTGGCTTCTCCTCCTCGAGGGTCTTCTTACCGTGGTCATTGGTCTCCTCTCCATGGCCTATCTTCCTACCTCGCCAACAGGCACCACGTCTCTAATCTGGCGAAAGTCTTGGTACACTGAGCGCGAGGAGGTTATCATGATCAACCGTATCCTTCGAGATGATCCTGCCAAGGGTCTTACAGCATTGAAGGAGCCTGCTACATGGCAGGATGTCAAGAACGCATGGTCAGACCCTTCGCTTTGGGGTCTATACTTCATCGGCCTCGTTGCTTACATTCCCGCCGCACCTGTTCAGGCTTACTTGACTCTTACACTCAAGCGAGTTGGAAAGTTCAGCACCTTGGCTAGCAACCTGCTCACTGCACCCTCTGCTGCACTCCAGATCGTTACTATGCTTGCGCTGGCATACAGTTCTGAGTACTTCAATGAGAGGACGTTTCACTGTCTGTTCGGAGAGATCTGGTCACTTCCACTTCTTACGGCACTTCTCACTCTTCCTGATGAGGGCCGAGAATGGGGACGATTCTCTATCATTACTCTGATCTCTGGATACCCTTACTTTCATCCTCTGGTTTCTTCTTGGATTTCCGAGAACTCTTTCGATGTTAAGAAGCGAGCCATTGCTGCGGCTACATACAACGTCATCGTTCAAATGTGAGTTAGACCCCTCTGACTGTCGCTCTTGACCCGCGGCCATTGCCCGTCCAACAAACACATACTAACAGAAAACAGGGGAAGCGTTACAAGCTCTCAGATCTACCGCAAGTGGGATGCTCCTTACTACAAGAACGGAAACAAGGTGCTCATTTCGATCTTGTGCCTCTCGGTCGTTGCATTCCTCGCTCAACGATTCTGGCTCATCCACCTCAACAAGAAGAAGATCGAACAGTGGGAGCAGATGACCCCGGAACAGAAGCTCGAATATCAGACGAACAAGGAACAGCGAGAGATTGATGGAAACAAGCGACTCGATTTCCGCTTTGCTTACTGAGAGGATAACTAGGGGTGATGTGGTAATTGGGTCGATTTAGTATTCTTCAACATATGCATATGCTGTATGTTAAACAGTTAATTTCTTCAAAGCCTGAGAATGGTCACGAATTGGATATGTTCTATACATTTGGAGCAAGGTCTCCTGTGGTGCCACGGTTGTGAAACCCTTTTGTGACTGCGAAAACTGCCCGTTTCACAGCAATCCATGCTTTATTTAGATTTAGAGTTCAAGTCGTTACTGATTCTAGTCTCTGTTCCCGCTGCCTTCGGCCAAGAATCCCAAACGCGGATGAGAATGCGAGCGCAATGACATTTTTTGTGATTGTGGTATTTATTAGTCATCAAATTAAGCATGTTCGAGGCACATCGCCAACTTTGTCTTGGAACTTAATTCCCGTCCAATTCTTCTTGTGCCATCTCAATCGCCTTGTCTCACACATTTATCATTCTTAACAACATTATTCTTGAATAAACATAGCCAAAATGGGCGTCATCGGACTCACAGCCTCTGGCCTGGTCGGCGCTTTACACAGCTACATCCTTGTTCTGGAGATGTTTCTCTGGACGAAGCCTCGTGGAAGAAAGGCTTTCAGACTCACACCCGAATTCGCTGAGCAGACCAAGACAATGGCTGCCAACCAGGGTCTCTACAACGGCTTTTTATCTGCTGGATTGATCTGGTCCCTTCTTCACCCGAACCCTGAGTTCTCGAAGCAGCTTCAGATCTTCTTCAACGGCTGTGTCCTAGTTGCGGGTGCATATGGTGGTCTCACGGCCAACAAGAAGATTCTCTACATCCAGGCCGCTCCCGCGGCTCTTTCTCTTGGACTCGTTCTGTTGGATATGTAGAGTGTTATTGTGAAAGTATGGATTGGGTTCCCTAGGCTTTGGTAACATTTGGCCGCTAACATGCTGGATAGTAAGATTTATATACAGTTTATCGAGCTTGATGTGTTTATTTATCCAGTTTCTTTCTAGTGAATATGTGAGAGCCCGGTATTGCAGAAATATGGCGTCATTTTGTCTTAGGCCAGCAAATGTGTTGACGCTGTTCAATACCAGCTTGTTGTTTCACTAAAACCTTCATATCTGATGTGATGCGAACTTACATGGTGTTGCGGCTATGGAATACCCTTTTATGGAAACCCAACGACTATTTTTATCATGCGGCTGCCAAACTTAACATCCCCAAGCTCATCATTGAACAAGCGCAGGCCATTCTATCTTTGTACGGTGTCCCTTGGGAACTGAAACAAGTTGATATGCTCAAGTCAACTGAGTTTAGTTGCAATACCCGCTGAGCAAGCCGAACCACAAGACTCTTTCTGATGAGTGCGATTCGTCGTTCGTTCAGCCGACTCCCTCAAACCGATCGCTGATCGACATGCTCCTGCCAGCCTAGACCTATGCCGCCGGCAGCAATAGCGAGGTTCCGAAGCGAGAGTAAAGGTGTGAAATGTGGCTGCCCGTCAGGGATGGCTATGAGATACCGTTGCAAGAAGCTTGTTGACAGGATGCTTAGCGCAGATTTGAAGGAGTCGGCTGGTATTGGCCAGACGTTGTGCTAACATAGGTGAAGCCCTTATCTTGTCGACTTGTTCTCCATCTTTCGTGCTGGTAGCAACATCCGAGTTGGATGAGTTGGTGTTGCTGACACTTACTATCAGGCAGGTTTATGCGAGTGATTTTGCGAGTTCCTCAATGTTTCACCCGCTGGTCTTCCCATGGCATTGTCAGAACTCTTCGAGTCTGTGTCGACTGATATTGAAGCTCATGTATGCGCTACCACGAATATGCATGACGTGACGTTTGGCTAATGAGGTCCAGTCCCACGATGACACCGGATGTGTTGTTGTAATATGTTACACAAAAACCATGTCTTGGATAGTTTGCTAATCATTTCTACAACACGTTCACTGCCCTCGAGGCGGTGCTACCCGTAAGTCCACTCCGTGGAGCGATGAGTGACTGTGAATAATACTCAGTATATTTAAGATGGACTTTAGATGATTGGGCAGTATCAATGGCTTCAATACTCACATATTGCCCCTAAGTTGACATCTGTCCTCGGTATTGGAGAGAGAGGAACGGTATGTGCCCTCTCGGAGCTCTTGTATGATGAATACTCTCCTCACACACTGCATGGTGTCTGACCCAAACTCTAGATCTCCTGCATCATGACCACCAGCAGAAACTACATCCTATCCAAATACAAGCTCCACCAGCTCAAGGCCATTTAGGACTGTCGTCCAGGCTGTTGGGGGAAGTTGGTCCTGACTCCTCTAACTATTCAACTGATATCCGGCACACTATATCAACGTTCCCTTCAACAAACATATCACTGGGTTCTGTGCTTTCACCCACAAAGCTGGTGGCCATACCAAGGCTCAAGGCCCCTGACACACATGAGCTTCTTGAGCCTGAGGACTTGGACTATCAAGGCATGTCGTATCACTCTTGAATTGATGTTTGCAGAAACTAACAATCGTACAGATAGTAAGTCATGATATGACGATGATATGATATTCGAAGTGACTAACGAAATCCGCAGTATTTACCCGACTTCTCGACTCACTGGCTGGGATGCTCTGAAGAGTCGTGTTGACCAGCTCGATTGAAACGGCTGACGATTAGATCAAGGAAATGTAAGTGACGCTATCATACATTCGAGACTCTGTGAACTGACAGATATCTTTGTAGCACTACTAAGATCAAACATATTGCCGAGCTCAAGATGATGACTCTCGATGAGAGAGATGCTCTGATCAGACCCTTTCACTTCGAGTTGACGGGTAACAACAATGGAGTTCAAAATGGAACGGCATAGGAAAGCAAGAAAGACTTGGAAATTGGGGTTTGTTGTACTAGCAAACGACTTATGACTATAGGTAAAAAGTTACTGGATCGGTGATTTTGGGCAAACACGACACAGCATTTGAACCAACCGAACCAACCGCGCAACGTGATGTGACATTGGTCGGTGAAGTTCATCTCCATGGAAATGCTTCCACCTCTGAAGTCAGGGTCTAACGGGAAGTTTTAGCTGAGCCCAGTTGTTAGAAGACCCCAAGAGCTTACTCTTCAGCTCTAGTCTTGATTTCCGAAAACAAGGAATTGGTCACTGGGGGTTGCCGACTCGGCAGGCATTTTGGCCGATAAATCTCTCCGCATGACTCCAAATATACAACGGCCAATTGTATCTTTCACAGTTTCGCGGGGTTGAGGCTACACTATATAATGTATCCAAGTTGTCGAATATCACATCCGTCAGAACCGAGATCACGAATTGACAACGGCTATACGGCACCTGAAGGTCGTCATAATTATGCACGCATCGCCCGGCTTTAATGAAATATCCAGAAACTCAATTCTTAATCCCTCATTGTTTATTGTACATCTTGACGGAAATTGTGTTGCTGGTGACAGAATCATCCTGGCATGCAACCCTTTGAGAATTCGCTTCTAGCCATGCAGATCAGCCTTCCGGATCACACGGGAGCTTCTGGAAAATAACGCTCAAGAGTCACAGGAAGTCGGTCAATATTCATATTCGCGAACGCGAGGTTGCAGTGAACGGGTTGCAACGCTGGAAAGAAGAGAGCTATCCGTAAAAGGCAGTAAGCTATGCGCTCATAGAGAATGCGAAAAGCAATAAATAACAGCTCGTTGCGCGTGGAAAGATGTGTCGGAGTGTGTGTTTGCAGCCTGTTCTCAAGACAAGTGTGTAAACGTAGATCTCGTGACCTTAACTATTCTCTATACTATCATAATCTGCTTGAACGATATCATCGATGTCTAAACTATTCCGTCGTCGCAAGAACAACAACGATGACCTGGAATCCAACGCTGGCCGGCGGGCCTCTCGCGCTTCCAGGGGCGGGAGAGCCGCCAGCATTGTAGACGACAGTCTCGGCGAGTATCCTGCCCTGGATCACTACATCAGCAACTATCGCGAAGACCGCCGTCGAAGCGCAGCTGATGATCGTGATGGGAAGGTCAAGAAGAAGCATTGGTGGCAGTTTGGTAGTGGTGTCGATGCTCAGGAGGAGCCCCCCGCCAAGAAGGGTACTCCTGATGCTTGGCTTGAGACGGATCTCACGACTGGTCTTGCGTCGGATGAAGTTGAAAGACGAAGGCAGATAACAGGATGGAACGAGTTGGTTTCTGAGAAGGAGAATATGTTTGCCAAGTTTCTTGGTTTCTTTACCGGTCCAATTCTTTATGGTAAGTCATCTTGCATCCTCCATCTGAGGGACTCACTTACTGATCATCGCATTACAGTTATGGAGGTCGCAGCACTTCTCGCGGTCGGATTGGGGGATTGGGTTGACTTTGGAGTCATCGTCGGTATTCTTATGCTTAACGCCTTCGTCGGGTTCTACCAAGAGAAGCAAGCCGCAGATGTTGTGGCTAGTCTCAAGGGTGATATCGCAATGCGATGCACAGTCATACGCGACAGCAACGAACAAGAAATTCTGGCACGAGAACTCGTCCCAGGAGACATTGTAAGTGTACCCTCCACTTGGAACCGTCAGGCTTGCTGATTGATGCCCTAGCTCATTGTTCAAGAAGGCGGTACAGTCGCTGCAGATGCCCGTCTTATCTGCGACTATACACGCCCCGAAGACTTTGAACTGTACAAACGCCTCCGAGCCGAAGATAAACTCGACCGTAGCGATGAGGAAGATGAATTTGCTGATGGCCCAGACAAAGAACAAGATCATGATACATCGACAGAACATGATGCTCATCATCACACTCATGAGCAAGAGCCACTCGACTATCGCAGTCGTCCTCTCGCAGCCATTGATCAGTCTGCTATCACTGGCGAGTCACTTGCTGTCGAGAAGTATCTTGGCGATATGGTCTACTATACCACTGGTTGCAAAAGAGGAAAGGCGTTTGCCCTTGTTCAAACCACTGCTAAAGAGTCTTTCGTGGGCCGTACTGCAGACCTTGTACAGGGAGCCAAGGATCAAGGCCACTTCAAGGCTATCATGAACAACATTGGAACCTCGCTTCTCGTTCTCGTTATGTTCTGGATCCTCATAGCTTGGATTGGAGGATTCTTCCACCACATTGGAATGACGGAGCCTGGATCGCAGAATCTTCTTCATTATGCTCTTGTTCTTCTTATCATTGGTAGGTCCCAAAGAACCCTAACTCCATTATCACAGAGTAAATTTGGCTAACAATCGATCCAAAGGTGTCCCTGTTGGTCTTCCAGTGGTGACAACCACGACCCTCGCTGTTGGAGCAGCCTATCTCGCGAAACAAAAGGCCATTGTTCAAAAGCTTACAGCTATTGAATCTCTTGCTGGCGTCGACATTCTCTGTTCTGACAAGACCGGCACGTTGACTGCAAACAAGCTATCGATTCGCGATCCTTGGCTGGCAGAAGGCCAGGATGTTAATTGGATGATGGCAGTCGCAGCTCTGGCTTCTAGTCACAATCTCAGAACGTTAGACCCAATCGACAAAGTCACCATCCTTACTCTCAAGCGTTACCCCGAAGCGCGAGAGATTCTCAAGCAGGGATGGGTGACTGAGTCGTTCACACCTTTCGACCCTGTCTCTAAGCGCATCACTGCGGTTTGCCGCCTCGGGAACGACACTTATTTTTGCGTCAAAGGTGCGCCCAAAGCGGTCCTGAAATTAGCTTCAGGCTCTGAGGAGGAAAGCCGAATCTACAAAGAGAAAGCCCAAGACTTTGCTCGAAGAGGTTTCCGTTCGCTTGGTGTTGCTTACAAGAAGAACGATGGTCCCTGGGTCATTTTGGGTTTGCTATCCATGTTTGATCCTCCTCGCGAGGACACAGCTCAGACAATCATCGAGGCAGGTCATCTCGGAGTCCCCGTCAAGATGTTGACTGGAGATGCAATTGCAATTGCAAAAGAAACTTGCAAGATGCTGTCTCTTGGAACCAAGGTTTACAACTCTGAGAGACTGATCCATGGCGGCTTGTCTGGAAGTGTACAGCATGACTTCGTCGAGCGTGCAGATGGCTTTGCAGAAGTGTTCCCAGAGCACAAGTACACGGTCGTCGAAATGCTTCAGCAAAGAGGCCATCTCACGGCAATGACTGGTGATGGTGTTAACGACGCTCCTTCCCTGAAGAAAGCGGATTGTGGTATTGCTGTTGAGGGTGCTTCAGAAGCTGCCCAAGCTGCAGCAGATATCGTTTTCCTCGCTCCAGGCCTAAGCACAATTGTCCTGGCAATCAAGACCGCTCGTCAGATATTTCAAAGAATGAAGGCGTATATCCAATACCGTATTGCGCTCTGTCTTCACTTGGAGATCTATCTCACGCTTTCTATGGTCGTCATCAACGAAACCATCCGAGTCGACCTCATCGTTTTCCTTGCACTTTTTGCAGACTTGGCAACTGTTGCAGTTGCTTATGATAATGCTCATTGGGAACCACGACCTGTAGAGTGGCAGCTACCCAAGATAGTGAGTTATTTTATATGATTCTGACCTGTGATGGTCGTGATGTTTGACCTGTCGATGGCAAAGGCTAACGTTGAAATAGTGGGTTATGAGTGTGATTCTTGGGATCCTTCTAGCTCTTGCAACTTGGGTATTGAGAGGCGCTATGTTCCTGCCGAATGGAGGTTTCATTCAGAACTTTGGTTCTATCCAAGAGATCCTCTTCCTCGAAGTCGCCCTCACTGAGAACTGGCTCATCTTCGTCACACGAGGCGGCAAGACCTGGCCATCATGGCAACTAGTGTTCGCAATTCTCGGCGTAGATATCCTCGCTACTCTGTTTTGCCTCTTTGGCTGGATGTCCGGTAGAGGCGAGATTTCCCACCCCGAGTCGAACTTCAAGCAGAGCAGCAATGGCTGGGTCGACATCGTAACTGTTGTGATCGTCTGGCTTTACTCTTTCGGTGTAACTGTCGTCATTGCTATCGTTTACTTTGTTCTCAATAAGCTGTCTTGGCTGGATAATCTCGGTAGGAAGGACCGTAGAAAGAAGGATACCAAGCTGGAGAACATCCTCGGTCACTTGCAGAAGCTTGCTATTGAGCATGAGGTTGATGAGAAGACTGGAAAGAGTAGATTTATGCTAGCAGAGAAGGTTGCTGATGAGGAGGATGATATCTAGAGACTGTTGCTGTGTTGTGGTATGGCGTGAAGGTCTCTTGGGTCGCATTCACTTGTGTTACACCGAGCTATTTCTTGAGTTTCGCGATTGCCTGGTGTTTCTTGGAAGTATGGTTCAAATGAGGAGTTTTCAGTTCTTTATACCTTTTTAGCAATATATCCCTTCCATTTTCTGTCTGCCATTACTCAACACACATGCTATGCGAGGAGGAACTCACCTTGGACACTGAATAGAATCGGAAGATGATCATAACCACAGATCAAGATTATGATCATTCTATGATGATAGACTCTAAATCTATTATAGATTTTACAATATTTCTCAAATTTTAACTGAGTTCATTAACACTCAATGAGATAATGCTCCGAGAGAAGCCATCCGCGTCTGCCGAAAATGGACGTTCCTCCCAAGTTCTCCACTGGTAACCTGCCCAGCTCCTTCGTTCATCGTGACAGGAGAAACTATCCCAGCGTGATTCAGTGTCCTAGGCTAAAGGAGCGCACACAAACCCGAAATTATCTCGACCGGTAGGCACGGCATTTATCCAGCCTCCATACGAGTTCCCATATCATTAACAGATCGCCCTAGCCGAATCTTACACCAAATTTAGCTGAAGAACAATGGCAGCTACATTGATGTCCCTTTCCGAAGAGGATGCTTCCTGGAAGCAATGGGACGATACCGTTGAGACAGCCTGGCCTACAGTCACCGCTCCCGTGCCCCTACCAACTCCCGAAGTCCAGCTCTAATTGTCAAACAGGAGCCTTCTGCCAACCTTTCGTGTTAGTTACAGTTTCATAAGTATTTGTATTCTTAAGCTGATTCATAATACAGGGTAGGAGCAACAAGCTCGGACTGACGCCCGGGGTAACAGCAAGAGAATATCTTCTAGAGGAGGAGAGGGAAGCAAAGATGCCAGGGCGATCTCGTTAGAGAATGGCGGGGGAGCTACCGAGGCTTAAAGGGCACCAAAATCCGGGGTAGACAGGGGTACTTCAAGGCGAGATTACAACCTTTCAGCACGTCATTTGCACCAAACGTAGCACAGGAACAATTCGTTTTTCAGACTCTTCTCATTTGCCGCACTTTATTTTCTCCCACTGGTCGGCCAACGGTGATCCTTTGAACTGGAACTCACTCACACCTTGAATTTTGAAGCCATGACCCCACCTCCATCTACCTCCCGACCTCCGAAAAACCCTCCGAGTTCTCGTCAGAAGCTCGCAAGACGAGCCTGCGATTCATGCAAGATTCGAAAGATCCGCTGCTCAGAAACACCCCCCTGCACAGCATGTGAAGCCTCAGGTATAGAATGTACCTTCAATCGTTCACAAGGGACGAGAGGGCCTAGAGGATTGAGGCCAAGAACGCTGGATAAGATTGAGCGAAGACGCCAAGGTGATGGAGTAAAGAGCGATACCTCAAGCCCAGATCAAGCTATTGCCAAGAAATCACCGTCACCTGTTGACGAAGTAACTTGTTTACTTGACATTCTAGAGGTTTATTCTGAAAGACTGTACCCTATCTGGCCCATCGTCGATGCAACCGACCTAAGGAACAAAATTCGACAGAATCCCAGTGAAGGCGGTGCAGCAAGATGTCTTGCTAATGCTGTGGCTCTTGCTGCTATTGCTCAATTGAAACTGGGCACTGCATGGCGCCCCAGTGTGGAGGAAGCGGAAACAAGTGGGCTGAGTGAGAAGCTGGGTCTATTAGATGCTCTAAGGATCTCCTTCTTCTTACATATTTATCATGAGAATGCTTTGCCCGGAGGCACAAAGTCGCTTGTGTACTTGCGTGAAGCTATTACGCAGGCACAAATATTGAGGCTTGATCGTGAGTCTACATATCCTTCGCTATCAGAAGCCGATCAACATGTTTCGCGACGGATTCTCTGGTTACTGTTTGTCACTGAGAGGTAGGCATCTTCATTCAAGATGGATCTTTTACTGATGCTTATGGCTTAGAGGTGTTGCCCTGCTGCACAAGCTTCCCATAGTACTCAAACCAAACATCCTCTTCCCTTGGTTCGGAGGAGCTGATGACCGTGCTGAGGTTCTACCAGCATTTCTGAAGTTGGTTCATCTGTTCTGGGTCTTTGATCAGTCCAACATCTTCGAGATACTTCACAACATCGACGCGGACTCAGACATACCCAACATGGCCTCCGTGGCTCAAAGTTGCCTGGAGCTTCTTCAGCAAAAGCTTCTCGACTCAGCTGACAATGACGATTGGGGCCCGATAAATGAAGTCCAGCGAGCAGACATGTTTGTTACAAGACAGTGGATGCGTGCTGTTTTATGGCGAGCGGCTCTTCGATTTGGGATTGTCATACCCTCCATGAACCCGATCAACATCGCCAAGGACTTCCTGAGTCTGGTTTCTGAGCTTCCAAAGGCTGCGCTTGAGTCTCATGGGCCGACGCTGGTGAGCCTCATTGCGTGTAAAGTGTAATATGATGCAAGCTTACAGTCGTGGTAGGAATTCAAGACATTCGAGATTGCTACAGCAGTGATCGATGCAATTGCGAGCGATCACTCAATACAGAACGACCAATCTGGCCCAATACTCCATCAACTACGCGACATACTTTCGTCCTGTCGAGGAGGCAATCGTACTTTACTCTCACTTCTCACAATACGAATGGATGCAATCTTCAATTCAGGCCGCATGCTTGAAGCATCAGAAGGCGATGCAGTGGCCTTTGAGACAAACCTCCCGTCAACCTTTCAAGATACTGCCGAGCTTTTGACGGCACAACCGAACCTCACGATGCCGACATACCAATTCATGGAAGGCCAGGCTTCTCAAATTTGCTGGCCACCTCTAGACCTCGGCTATTTGGTTCGATCGCCGTCGCCGCTTACTCGCATGCTACTGGAGTCGATGCCCCGCGATGTTGCTGAGCAAGATGAGGTCCAGCAGATAATTGAGACACCGACCTAAGTTTAGGTAAAGGATCGATGACATTACGGTCTTTAGACGAAACTAAGCCTCAAGCCCACCCTAAAGTTGGAAGATTCTTCCATCGCTGGCTTATGGCGCAACGAGGTCCTCATATTGCGCCATTGCACCCTTGTTGAGCTACTGCAATTCCCCGCTGCAAGACACCTGCAGATGCAGAAGCTCAGAGATGACAATAAGGCAGTCCAAATATTTGACTTGAAGCTGTAATACATTCGCCGTATGAGTCAACCTGCCAACACCTCAAATTTTCTTACTCTCCTCAATTTAGCTCAACAAACAACCCCCCCCAAATTGTTGGCGGCACTGATTCCCAAAACGATCCTGTAAGTCATCCCGGCTCCGAATCAATCTCCGAAATATTCTCCGGCTACACAACCCCAATTCGGCGACGAGCCGTTTTCACCATTTTATACTGACCAAGTTATAAAGAAACATTCACATTGCAAAGAATTCCTTCACAAAGGCCTCATAAACGTTACAATGGCTTGGGCTGAACCTAGAAACACTGGTATGATCTACCGCCGTCTCGGTAGATCTGGTTTACATGTCTCTGCGATTGGTCTCGGTAGCTGGATGACCTATGGAGGTTACGCTCAAGATGAGGAGGCATTTGCTTGCATGAAGAAGGCTTACGACCTCGGAATCAACTTTTTCGACACCGCTGAGAACTACACTGCTGGCCAGGCTGAGATTGTTATGGGAAAGGCTATTAAGCACTTTGGGTGGAAGCGAAGCGATTTGGTCATTAGCACAAGTGAGTCTCCAAATGCCCCAGGTGTTTAGGGCTCTATGCTGACGTTTCTCAGAGATCAACTGGGGCGCTGTCAATGGAGAGATTCTTGTCAACAACCATGGTCTCTCAAGAAAGCACATTATTGAGGGCCTGGACGCCTCATTGGAGCGTCTTCAACTCGACTACGTGGACATTGTCTACGCTCACAGGCCAGACAGATTGACTCCTATGGAGGAGACTGTCCGAGCTTTCAACTACCTGATTGACAATGGAAAGGTTTGCATAGCATTCACCAAGCTTGATCGTGTCAACGCTGACAAAGTCACCAGGCTTTCTACTGGGGTACATCAGAGTGGTCCGCCGATGAGATTGCCGAAGCTGTAAGTCACCGTCACTTATACCTAATCTGCCTAAATTCTCACAACAACAGGTCGGAATCGCTCGTGATCTAAGAATGATTGGACCTATCGCCGAGCAACCCTTTTATAACATCCTCGTCAGAGACAGAGTGGAAGGCCAATTCCAACGCCTATACGAGCGCACTGGTCTCGGTATCACTTCATTCTCCCCTCTAAAAATGGGCGTCCTCAGTGGAAAGTACAACGACATAGTTGACGGCAAGCCCCCCAAGGACTCCCGTTTTGAGGCCAGCAAGGACAACTTTGCCGACTTCATGCGTGGTCGCATTGGCACTGATGACTGGAAGGAGGAGATCGACAAGGTTCGCCAGTTGAAGCCCATTGCTGATAAGTTGGGCATCAGCCAGGCTCAACTTGGTATTGCGTGGTGTCTTAAGAATCCTAATGTTACCAGTGTTATTACTGGTGCCAGCAGGCCTGAGCAGTTGGATGATACTGTTGCTTCGCTGAAGATTCTTGATAAGTTGACGCCACAGATTATGGAGGAGATTGACGCTATTACGAAGAACAAGGTTGAGATGGACCCTGCTAGACAGAGCTAGAGACTTCTAATGAAAATTCAAGGAAGATTTGTTGTATGAAAAGCATTGAATATTGAGGCCATATTCGAAGCTTGGACATCATGAAAATATGAAATACGAAGAGTAGATGTAAAATCAAAGCATTTTCTCCTAAACTGCAGCATGAATATAATTAATTGAATCTAGATATCAAGTTGTGCCCTTAACCCAGACTCTTATGATAGTTGTGAGGAGATTCGACATTACAGAGATGATTCTTTGAGCCAGACTCTGGAGATATGTCGTTCTCCCTCGACTCCTTGATGGTTATTCTGGCTAAGAAGTCACAATTTGATATATTATTAGGAATTGCTCTGTTGCTCTCATTGTAGTGGAGAACAAAGTTTGATTGTACTTTGTATATATGTTCAATCGGTTGAATATTCCTTGAAGTTCCTCGCGTACTGTATGCATAATATTAGCTTGAATATATGCACCTGATATTAAAAACAGATAGAGTATCCATAGACTCGGGTAAGTATTTGCAGAAAAACTCTACAAGACGATTTCTAATCAGCACCTATGATGTGATGTCCTCTGAACTAGTGATCAGCTCAACAAGGTAGAGCTCTCGGGAAGCAACTGCCGTAGACGGCAGATCGCACTTTCTCAAGCTGCGACATTATGAATCATCATACGACTCCGGCCTAAGAGAAGTCCGAACTACGAGCAAGGAGATAAACTCGGACTCGCGTTTTTGGTTTCACTATCAGCGATACAACCCTAAATTGTCTTGCAAAGGGGCTCTTAAGGTCTGTTAACTCATTCTCGTATTTGACGACTTCTTATTGGTTCGCGACTTTTTGGTGGGGGCCATTCGCACCGAGCCGGAGACCCTCTTACCTGTTACGGTAAAAGCACTTACCGGATAGGGTAAAAGTCTCGACCGACACCAAATGCAAAGTCCGCGATAGCATCATTGACAACGGCGATGATGGGGAGGGAAGGAGTTAATGAAATGTCCGGGCAATTAAGTTCTTCATACTCAAAGCTGGTAGTGAGCACTCAAGTATAAAGATGTCGGCATGTCTTGACCTTTGGAGAAATATCTCATCATCATCACACTCATCAACTTCACTCAACAACTACTACCACTCTCACATACATTAAATCTTTTGAATCTCAAAAATGTCTCAACCATACGCCAAAGACCAGCCTGAGGGCTTTATCAACAAGATCGAGCGAGTTGCCATCATTGGCGTAAGTAACCTTTTCATCTCTCTTCTATTCAATAACTAACATGTTACAGGCTGGTGGAAGTGTTGGCAAGTACTTGGCCAAGTACCTCATCGAGACAGGCAAGCATACAGTCACTGCCGTCACTCGAAAAGGCAGCACTAGCAAGGTCCATAAAGGCGCCCGCACTGCCACTGTCGACTACGATGATGAGAACTCCATCGTTGAGGCCCTTCGAGGCCAACAATTCCTCGCCATCTCCCTCTCAGTGTCCGCACCCCCTGGTACTCAAGAGAAGATCATCAAAGCAGCCGCCACAGCAGGTGTTCCTTGGATCATGCCTAACTGTTACGGAATCGACATTACTAATAAGTCACTCGCCGAGGAGAACCTGACTGGTGGAAGTGTGTTCCCAGGAATCAATGCCGTTGAAGAAAACGGCGTATCTTCATGGATTGCCATGTGCTGCTCCTTCTGGTACGAGTTCTCCCTTGCTCAAGGTCCTGAATGGTATGGCTTCGACTTGGCCGGCGACAAGAAAAAAGTTACTTTCTACGATGACGGTAACACCCGGATCAACACTTCAACCTGGGACCAGTGTGGTCGAGCTTTCGCCGCTCTTCTGAGCCTGAAGGTTATTCCTGATGATGAGAACGACATGTCACCTACCATCTCCCAGTGGCGCAACAAGCCCCTCTACATCTCCAGCTTTCTCATCTCTCAGCGAGAGATGCTCGACAGTTTTCAACGGATTACTGGTACTACGGATAAGGATTGGGAGATTGAGTATGAGGGTACCAAGGAGCGCTGGCAGCGAGGCATGGATCTTCTTAAGAAGGGCGATCGTTCTGGCTTTGGACTTGCCATGTATGCTCGAACGTTCTATCCCAATGGTGATGGAAACTTTGAAGCTAAGCATGGCCTTGCGAATGAGGCTTTGGGTCTGCCAAAAGAAGATGTGGATGAGGCCAATAAGAGGGCTTTGAAGATGGTTGAGGATAATTACAACTACTTCGTGAACCGAAACCATTAAAGGTAGAGTGCAACAACGAGAAGGAATTGGCATCGGATGTATAAGAAGCTTTTATAGACTGGACTTTCTAGACGAACAAGTAATACTGTCACTCACGCATAACTGCACTCCCCAATGTTTGAATGAGTGATAAAAAGGAAGAAATGCTTACGAGCAAAAGAATGGTCCCGCTCGGGCTCGAACCGAGGACCTTCTCGGTGTAAACGAGATGCCATAACCAACTAGGCCACGAGACCAATAGAGATGCTTAATGAGGTCAGATTTGAGTCTAAGTTCGCAGAGCGAGGAGCGGTGAGAAAATGAGAAACAAATCCTGTTGGATCCGCAAAAATGTGGTTCCGCCCGGGATCGAACCGGGGACCTTCTCGGTGTTAACGAGATGCCATAACCAACTAGACCACGGAACCTGAGTTAGTGAGATGAGATCTCTGGCGAATTGTGCCAGGGGAGGGCGTAGGAGCGTCTATAGAGATGCGCGTTTGCGGACCGAGTATTGGATGCGGAGTCTTGAAGGACTGCCACCTGATGTTATGTATAAAGAAAAAGAAAGGTTATTTTCAGACCTGGGGTCCTCTGAGCCTCTTCCTAGTACTTATTGCCTTGAAATTCTGTTAATTGTGCTGGAAGTTACCCTGTGGCTAGATATCTGTAAACATTTTGCAGGTATGCTCACTTTACACGTTAAACTGGAGGCCCCTTAATTCACACCACTCCAGAGTCATAACCAGCCGCTTGCCTTCCTATACATTCATTCCTATCTCAGTTTATGCTTCTCACCTCAATGTCTATCGCTCGAACTGCCAGTACGCTCAGTGTAGCAGACCACCAGAGGATATTTGACGAGATCTCAGCAATTCGTGAGGCTGCGAAAAGCGATCGCTCCATGTCCAACAATGAGAAGCGGCAGATAGCTGAGGAGTTCAACGCCGCTAGGAGGGACCTTCAAGCTGCTTCTCAAGTGGCTATGGCCACCGCGGCGCAATCAACATCCATGTACCCTAGAAGTCTCTAGGTACAGCACTCCAGAAGGCAGTTACGGTTACATTCGCCGCGCTGTTCCTGCAACTACTGGGAGGACTAGAAGTAACGAAAGAAGACTGGATTTTATTATTGGACTGGTTGAATAAATGAAAGACAGCGACATGAAAGACACGAGATTATGACTTTAGCGTAGGGTTGTCGGGATGTTGAAGTTGGACGCTTTGGCCTGAGAGCCGTTGAGCTGCGTTAACGCCGATTTTCGCAAGGGCTTATACTGGCGCTTTGAGGGCGACTACCTACGATACCTTGACGCGGACTTGCACCGCCACAAATTCAAATGGGAACCGGTGACCGAGGTGTGATACTTGACGATTGGAGGGCAGACATGGTACTATAGCATCGACAATTATGACATTGTCTATTGGAGCTAAGCATTATCATGTTTTCACATCGCTTCTAAGTTCGAAGTTAATTGCGAAAGACTACGGCTGACCACTAATGTAGAGTCTTGAGTTTTGATGTCTTATCGATAAGTCGGTTATAAGGCTTGCTACCCTAGACATGCGCAGAGCTTAAGCAGGAGGAGTATGCTTTCATGCTGCCTGCTTAAGTCTGTTAAGTTCTATCCTATCATCTTTCTCAGAATGCTTTTAGTATGTCACGTTTTGAAGGAGGAACAGAGAGGTACTAAAAGCACATTGGTATTTTCATCTAAGCTAACAGTCTGTATACCTTCTATAATAATCGTGGCTACTAAGCTCGAGACCGAGCTCGATAAAATGCATAATCAACGCGTCTTCGCCCACTATCTTGGTTATCTCAAGGAGGATCGTGTTTCACCTCCTTCTAGCATCCTCTAGCATCCTCTAGCATCCCATACTCAGGCTCCATCTTCGCGAGCCTGCGACTTGCCCGCTCCTTCTTGTACGTCTTGCGCTGCCTATTGTGGCGTTGGGGTGCTGTTCGTGGCGAGGCTTCCGCGTGCGTCAATGTATTCTTAGTGATCCGACCACCATAAGTTTTGCAAAGAGTGTCTTTCGCTGGTTGAGGTGTCGTTGCTGACGACTGCGCCACTGCTTCGCGCTCGGTGGATCTTTCGTTGAAGCCATGCATGTGAGTACCCGGGGCATCGCCTATGGCGCCTGCTCGGGGAGCTGTTGCTGGCGGCTGCGGTACTTCGCGCCCAGCGGTTCTTTCGCCGAAACCATATTCGCGAGCTCGATTGTTCTGGTGCTTGAGAGGGACGTCGAGTTCATCCCACACACGGAACCTATGATTCATTTCCTCCTGAGTTTGAGGTGGCGGTAGGCGGCGCGTTCTTTCTGCCTTTTCTGTCAATTCTGTTGACCTTTTAATGGCCCTTTCTAGAGCCTCACGGTCTCTTCGTTCTTCGTCCTCAATCCTTTGCAACTCTTCTGCACGTGATGCAGCATCGCCCGTAGTATCAGACAGCAGGGCCTCTCGCTGTCGCTGGCGGGAGATGCGAGCGTAGGTACCTTTGCGCCAGCGATCCCATACACCGTAATTCTTAGTATGCTCTGGTAATTCGGGAGGGTGCGATCCGTAGAAGCGATTCCAGGCGTCATGGAACTCCTGGTGCCAGCTGGCCGATGCAGCTTCCTCTTCCGGGGTTATATTCTCACCGAAATCACCAGATCCTCTTGGTGGAGAGTTCTTCCGTTTCCATTCAAGTATGGCCACGTGCGCTTCATACGTAGCAACGATCTCTTCCCGCGTCCAGCCCTTCTTGGGGAGGTCGATATGGTCTTGAATGTTGTCCTGTTCGAGATAGAACCGAGGAGGATCCACGTAGCGAAAGCTTTCCATTAGCTCGCGCTTCTCACGGGCTTGCCTGTTTCCCGGCTCATTTTCACGCCGCGACCTGGCCCTGTCTATGATGCCCTCCTTGAGGAAGAACCTCTCGAACAGGTACTGCTCCTCAGTCAAGGCCCAATGCGTTCGCTTGTACTCTAGTTGTTCCCATGGGTCTGCCGGGACAGGCGTCGGTTCGCGAGACTCGGCGCTGAGGTCGCTATCGCTGTCGCTTGGTGGCGGAGGTGGCAGAGATGGCGGGGACGGGGAAGGACTGCTGGGAACGCCTAACTCGTTGTTGGAGATTCGAGCCCACAAGCGCTTCCAGCCTTGGTCCTTGAGATTCTCTCCCCCAAACTGAGTGTATGGTTTGAAGGGCCGCCCTTCAACCTTATGCTCTATCACCCTCAGAGCTCGCTGGCGTTCCAAGTACACTGGTTCATACTTATCATAGGGAATCCTTTCCTCGATCATAGCCTTCCGCAATTGGTACCACTCTTCGCCGAAGTGCTTCTTACCCCAAGCCGAATAGGTTTCGGGATCATAGGGCTCTGGCTCGGGCGTCCACGGCATTCGCGCATCAGGATCGTAAGTATCAGGATCGTAAGTTCGTGGTACCAGCATCTCCTTGCCCAATACTAATGCAGAGTATGTCTCTCTTTCCTTGCTTTGCGGGTCGTCAGCCGGGTGACCGTTGTCGTTGAGGTTGTCGCCGTTGGATAGAGGGCGCACATCGTCAGAGGCGGCCTCGACGGATGGAGGTAGTGTTGGCGTGTTGTTGAGTCTGCGCTTTGCGCGCGTCTGTGGAGCCATCGAAATGATAATGGACGTGGAATTGACTGTTAAGGATCGTAGGGTAGTAAAGGGTCTGTTGCTGGCGATAAGTTAGAGGGGATGGTGAAGGAGGGAATAAAGGATATTAATAGGCGATAAGTTAGGGGGGCTGGTGAAGGATAGAACAAAGGATGGCAAAGGATAGAACAAAGGATGTTGATGGGTGATAAGTTAGGGGGGATAGTGAAGGATAGAACAAAGGATGTTTGCTTAAGCTGTTTGCTAAGCGCAGACCCCGTATCCCTCTCCATGGCCTGCAATCCACGTAGATATACTTAAGCGCTTCTTGAGCTGCTCGTTCGAGCTTCTTTTTCTCGTTAATCATGCATTCCAAAGATGGACGCCGATCAGACGGTTTTCTACCTCACCCCGGAGAACGACTGTGCGTTGGAGATCGTTCGAGATCCAGATAATAGCGACCGAACATGCCCGAACCCTAGAGACCCAGAGACGCTGTGCCTGCGAATTGGATTGGACCGAGAGTCCAAGAGCCCACCGTATCTCGTCAGCTTCGGCAGACGAGCCCACAACGATGTTATCCTGAATAGGTTCTTTCGGAGAAATGATCAGTGCTATTTCGATTTCAATAAAGAAACCGGAGAGCTTCTTCTCCACGGCGTATCGGAAGATAGCGATGCGCAACTCAACGAGATCGTCGAATTGATCACCAACAAAGAGGAAGAGGAACTCAACGAAGAGGAAGGGAAAAAGGAGGAGCTGCTTCGTCCCCAAATATCGAAGACCCGTCGGCAATGCGTCGTGATTCTCCGCCCTGACCTGTACCGCGAGGGCGTCGAACGCCAGTGGCTCTTCCAGATCCGTGACGCTAAGTTTCGCTTGATACCAGGAAGAACACATGGCCGGAGTGAAGCAGCACTCACCAAGGAGAGGCTGGCGTTCGCGGGAAAGACCAACAATGATAGGACAATCGAAAGAACTTTGCAGCAACTCGGCACGCTCGACCTGCAACCCAAGGGATTGCCAGCTTTTAAATCCCATAATACTCGGTTCCGAACCCCACCCGAGCCGGAAAAGGACAAGGTGATCCGAATCACAAAGCTCAAACCGCTTGGAAGAGGCGGCCAAGGTGAAGTGCACGAGGTTGTTGACATGTATACCGGCACGCACTACGCTTGCAAAATCGTCGGTGTAAGGACGGAAGTGCCGGAGTGGAAGATCCATTCCGAGAGCGACTTCAGGATAAAAGTGGAAAACGAGGTAAAAATGGTTCAGAAGCTGAAGCATGTAAGCTTCCTATTCTAAGTCTGCTTGCCTCACGCTAATCATATCAGCATCATATCGTGCCGTACACACACACCCAAGGATTCAAAATCGGACAGGACATCCAGATCTTCATGCCTATCTATGAAGGTGACCTCCACGATCTGCTGCAAGGGCTCAGAGACCAAGCGCAAGAGGAGGTGCGAACCATAACCAGCAAGATGCTATACCAGATGTTAGAGGCACTGAATTTCGTTCATACTCACGATCCGCCAATCATACATCGAGACGTTAAGCCTCCGAATATCCTCCACCGCGGCGGCAACTTCTTTTTGACAGACTTCGGGATCGCCAAAGCCGTCGATACATCAAACACTATCGTTGGAACGGGATGGTATATGGCGCCTGAAGTCAGGGAGAACAGGAAGCAGACGCCTAAAGTTGACATATGGGGGCTCGGCGTGACAGTGGTGGAGTGCTTAGAGCATTTAGAACCTGAACACGAGAGGAGAAGACAGTTTCCGGAGTGGAAGCAGTGGTACGAGTACCTCCAGACGAGTCTGAACCAACATCATTTTCCTTTCGCATCTATGGTCACCGTCGACACCGATCGACGTCCAACGGCTCGCGACCTACTCAGCGTACAAAACTGGCCGATGAATACCACCTTGAGTTTAGCAGCACCGCCGCTTTCGCACCAGCCAAACGGAACGACAACGATACACTCCGCACCACCTAGTCTCATGGACTGGACACAAACGGTACCCACAGCGTTCTTCCAGCCCAAGCAACGCAATGAGAGCATGCAGCTATCGCAACCTAACCTGGTGGCAATTGCATCGCTAAACGTGCCTCCCAGTCCACCGGCACAGCCAGGAGCCAGGCGCGGAGAGTCTGTCAAGTCTGCGAGGTCTCGAAACGAAAGGGAGAAGAAAGGTCACAAGCGTAAGAGGTCATCGCCGAATGCCGATGCACCATCTCACTCCTCAGGGGAATCAGAACGAACATCAGGCAGAACTCTGCGGCCGAGACCGAAACGGATGCGTAAGGCAGAGGAGAAGTAGGCATTAGGAATAGTTTGATGCCAATATTTCTCCGAGGGGCTGGTGGATGACGAGGTCATAGGGGTTTCGTTGGCAGCTAAGCCTGATGTTTGGACGAGAATTTTGTATATCTAATCATTTCTTCTTTCAGTGAAAGAGATTTGTACACCTAAAACATAAGGTACCGCTGCAAATGATTGGACCGCGGGCTTTCACCTGTGTATGCGGGCGGTTAAGGGCTGGACGGCTAGCCGGGAAAGTCCTGCATTGGAGGCAGTGACCCTTATGAGTTACACGATCTGCGAGATAGTATGGATTGGTTCTGCGCTGATGTCGGGGTGATGCTTGTGTTCTGAATAAGGCGGAATGATGTAGGCCTGCAACGGCTGCGGGAAGTAACAGTGCACGGTAGGTCTCAGGGATACAGCCACCCTCCTCCCTTCTAGCAGCGTTTTGCGTAGTAAAATGTGGCACTAGGAATATATTTCTCTGGGGCATTTCTAATCTTGAAATGGAAAAATCCAAGCGAGCTACCGAGGCCAACTAAATGTTCAACTAATACCCCCGAAGCCTGCTAGGTCTGCCGCTCCACCGTAACGTGAAAACTCTCAACTGACCTTCCACAGCTGAGGCGAAGCAAAATGCCAGACTTGGTAGACAACGTCGATTCGAACCCAGAAGGCCCGCGAAACATAGGCACATGGTCTCGGGGCGAGCATACTGCCCCCGGACTCATCGAATGGATAACAGCGGTGCCAGACACCTTGGAGACATATCTGCCAACTGTCGAAGAGAGAATACCCATAGAGGAGAGCCGACCAGAAGAGACTCGTACCCTGATGATTGATCACCTTTTCAACGATGGGCGCAGGAACGCCTTAATCTACAGGTGCGTTGAGCAGCCTACGCATCTGCGCGATGCCATCACACGCATCCAAAAGCCCTCCTCGGAAGACAGGCGTGCTCTCAGCAGAATTATAGCGACACAGGTCCGGCCCCTGTACGTCCACTTTCGGATTCATCACCCAGCTTTGCGGACCGAAAGTTTTGTCTTCTTTGGGGATCCTAATAAACCAGACTTTACCAAGCCCTATGTTCTCGATTGGGGGCGACAAGCATCTCCCGAGATGTACCAACATCCTGAATACCAAGCAGACAAACCTCTCTGGCCCTATCAAGTCTGGTCTTTGATGATGGTGCTGTCTGAGATTGCTGAGTGGCAGCCGCTTGACAAAGCATTCCAGGACGACGCGGAGTTGCGGAGCAGGAAACTAGAGAGGAAGCGGCTGGTGACAAGTCCGGGTTGGAAGGGTGCCATGACCGCCGAGATCTTCCAGTACGGCTTCGGATTTCTCGAGAAGGATCGCAACACACTTGAGGAGTACAGCGAGTGGGAGATCAAACGCTTCTATGATAAATTGTGCAAGCTTCTGGAGCCGTTGTGATATTCTGTCGAAGAAAATGAGCACGATGCCGTCTCAGTGTCATCTGCTTTAATAGCTCATTAATAGTCACTGCCTGCTCTATATTTTCTTTGTCTATGTCTTAATGAACCCCCGTATTATTAAGACTCTGGTACTGTGCTCTCGTTAGGAGATCTTGGAGAGGACTGGCCCTTTAGGTCAATGGAAGGTCGTGGTGTTGTAGTTAGTATTACTAGTATTATGTAAGTAAATCATTTTTTTAGCTAGGAGACTCTTATTCCCTTAGGATATTAAAGAGGGCTTGTGTCATAGTCGTCAACCCCAGAACCGCCGTCATCAAAAGCTTGAAAGGAAATAAGGACATCCAAATCCGGATCGCCGCCTGAGTAGTAGTATCCAGGGTGGATTATTCTTACTTGACGACCAAATGAGTCTTGAACGTTAGGAATAAGATGTGACTCGTTGATTATGTCGTAAGCATGCGCCATATTGCGATGATGATAAGATACTATGATGACCGTTTTGTTATGTTGGTGTTGTTTGTTTTGGGTTGGCGGAATCGGATTAACTAATTCCGTTGCCTTTTTTTTGTCAAGCCCATACACCTCCCGCCTTGGCGGCTCTTGGCGAATCGATTTGCGACAGAGCCTCAATATCAGAAGTTCAATTTAGATATTGACTTGATATTAGCTATCTACTGAGACAGTGTAGGTAGTCACTTTTGAGTTACCGTTATCTGTAAACCCGAAAACAAACTTAATTTAACGGATTTCGTCAGAAGCAATAAGAATTCTGGGGCTTAGTTATCAACGTCGTCATCACCAACGTCTCGTCGCTTGCGACTTACAGGACCTAATGATCAGCTCATCTTCGGTGGTCCGTATTGAAATGCCGATGATTCCACTTCGTTCGAGTCTCTTTTAGCCTCGTCTCCAAAACAATAACGACTTCATGCTCTCATCTCAAAAAGGAACACCTCCGACCCAACGGTCAAGCTCCGAAAACAAAGTGGAACGTTGTGAATATTCATTACTCAACACAAATCCAAAAAGTCGGAGAACAGCCTGGGGAAAAGTAAAACCCCTCAGGGTCGCGGGGTCATATCGCGGAGTGCCTTGTAAAATCTGTAAAACTGGTCATTTTGTCATATTTCAAAACGTAATAAAAATCATTTCTCCAGAGTCGTTAATACAGGGGATTGAAACTCAACAATGAAGCTTTTTTCTCTCGCCACTAAGCTCCAATTTAATATTCCCACATGGCACGGCAACCCCGTTGAGAAGCCGGTCGATGCCGGTCCTAAGAGTTATAATTCCCTGATAAAGACCGTGATAGCTATGCGTTTATGCAATATCTGCCGGTTCGGCCGGTCGACTCGGTTAAGACGGATGAGTTAGCAGACAGCACGGACCAGAATATGTTCAAAGAGCCGCAAATTGATTATCTGCCTTATTCATGAACAATATCCAAAAGTCACCAAGCTGAGGAACATCTCCACTGAAATGGGCCTCAAAGATAGACAGCTCCAGGTTCTCCTCACCCTGTTAGAGTTATTTTTCCAGAGGTCTCCTGATTTTTATCTCCAATTGTTCCTTAGTTGGGGTAATTCAGCTAGGGAGCCGCATATCCGTTCATGGGGGAGCTAGATTCATTCTAGTCTGGCCATAATCACGTGTTTCAAACCAATTAAAAAGGGTTGGAGATATGACATGCCTAAAAAAGGGCGCATAGGAGAAGGAAATTTTGTTTGAGACTAAAAGGCCGCTGATTCCGGAGCATGGTCTTGGTTTTGGGAGAGTCGGCTCCGAAAGGCGCTATTGTTGCAAGCATAGACTTCAGCTTAGAAGATCTCCATATGTATGGGTACTGGATAGAGGGACAGGATAAGACAGACCCCTGTAATCATTCGATGAGTGTTCTAAAATACTGCATTACTTGCAGGAGTATAGCTGTCTTGGGCAGCTGCCTGCTTATGCAATTCATCAACTTACAAAACATTTTATACCATGAATGACTTCTAGAACATGAATCGAACTCAGCGCTCAAAAGCCTCATCCAAGGATCGCCTGCCCAATCCCCAACCCAGACAATCACCCCAAAACAATTCTAGAACAAAAAGAGATAGGCCCTTCCCCGGCCCGGGACATAATCCCCACAACGTCATCCATCCTATTCACCGCGAAGGGGGGATCGTCATCCCTAGACTGTCACGGCGACATGGGCTAGGGGAGGCAAGAAAACTTAGGACCTCTATCCTAAATGACAAAAAGATTAAGGTAAATTTAGTATAGGTTTTAGTAGAACTTAGACTAGTTATTTTTGATACCTTTTCTGGGTCAGAAGTGTTCTTGCTCCCTGAGGATGGGGAAAAGCGACTTTGTTACGCAACCACAATGACGCCCCCAGAGATAGCTACGATCGCCGAACTAGATACCAAATAGTCCAAGTTACAGCCTAGCCTAACAGGAGAAGTGATCCTCCGTTAACGGGCTTGACGTCTGGCATTTAAATACCTGCTTTGCTAACCTCCAAATATGTCACACCCTGACCTCACTTGATATTCTTCCCCATTTCAGTACTCATGGAGTCCCAAACACCACGGGACAGAAATGTCCATATTGATGATTCAGCTGCTTTAGAACAGCTCGGTCATAAACAGGAACTCAAGCGAAACTTTTCCAAAATCTCTCTTCTCGGTCTCGCTTTTGCTATTCTCAACACATGGACCGCCTTGTCAGCCTCTATCAGTCTCGCCCTCCCCTCCGGCGGCCCCAGCTCCGTCATTTGGGGTCTCATCGTCGCTGGTATTTGCAACTTGTGTCTAGCTGCTCCTCTGGCTGAGATGTTATCGGCTTATCCTACTGCTGGTGGTCAGTATCATTGGGCTGCTCTTATTGCTTGGCCAAAATGGTCAAGGGGTATTAGCTACGTCACCGGTTGGATCAACGCTGCCGGTTATGTCGTGTTGACGGCGACGGCACCTCTGCTTGGAAGCACATTTGTTATGGACTCGATTACCTTCATGCATCCTACTTACGAAGCCAAGGCGTGGCACCAATTCCTGATTTATCTGGCCTTCACCCTCATCGCCCTTGTCATCAACGCCTTTGCGACTCGACTTCTTCCTCTCTTCAATAAAGCCGCCTTCCTATGGAGTATCTCTGGATTCATCATCATCAGCATAACTGTTCTGGCCTGTGCTGCTCCTGATTATCAAAGTGGTGCCTTCGTCTATGGAAAGTTTATCAATGAAGTCGGCTGGCCTGATGGTCTCTCTTGGATGCTCGGACTTCTTCAGGGTGCCTTTGCCCTTACTGGGTTCGATGCTGCTGCGCATATGATTGAAGAGATCCCCAACGCTCGAAAGGAAGGTCCCCGAATTATGATCTGGTGCATTCTCATCGGCATGCTTTCCGGTTTCATCTTCCTGTCCTGCCTCCTGTTTGTTCTCAAGGACGTTCAAGCCGTTATCGAGTCCCCCGCCGGAGCTCTTCTGCAGATGTACTTCGACGCTACCAACAGCAAGGCTGGAAGTATCTGCCTCATCGTCTTCTCCATCGTCTGCATGGTTTTCACTGCCACTGCCATCATGACTACCAGTGCTCGCATGACCTATGCTTTCAGCCGTGACCGAGGTCTTCCCTTCAGCCATATCTGGGCCAAGTATAACGACGCCCTCGAGGTCCCCCTCAACGCTCTTCTCTGGACTACAGTTTGGGTTATCATCTTCGGTCTGATTCTTCTCGGAAGCTCAAGCGCTTTCAATGCTATCACTGCAGCTTCAGTTGTTGCTCTCGGTACGTTGTCTCTTCCATCTCTATCTCTTCTCAACTAACATTTCAAAGGTGTCACCTACGCGATCCCTCCCGCCATTCATCTCCTCCGCGGCGGAAACCTACTTCCCGAAGACCGACCCTTCAAGCTCAGCACTCCCGTCCGATGGGTTTGTAGTCTTGTTGGCATTGCTTGGGCTATCCTCACCACCGTCCTTTTCGTATTCCCACCCGAGCTTCCCGTCACTGCCACCAACATGAACTACTGTATCGCTGCCTTCGGAGTCATCCTTCTGATTGCTGTGGTCACCTGGATCGTTGATGGTCGAAAACACTACAAGGGCCCTCTCATTGAAATTAACATGGATGGTGCCACTCTTGAGGGTGCATCTATGGCCGAGACCACATGCACTTCAAATCCTGAAGATGATATGAAGAATCATCATGCTTAAATCAGCGTATGTGCTGTGAACATATCTAGAGCGTGGATTTAACAACAGACTATCATCGAATAGCTAGATTAAATACAAACCGTGTATTATTCCTTGAATTCTGCTCTATGTCTAGTGATTTTCGATGAAGAATTCCTCCTTCTGCCGACCAGCCTTTATTGAAGCAAAGAAGAAAAAGATTGCAAGATATCGTTACAAGGAACCATGACCCTGGTCAGTCCTAAAAGGGACATGGACCCCATGCGGTCAACCCTGTCAAGCAATCTCAGACGTCATCCTTGGCAACATAATCGCTCAATGAAGGACCAACATTGGGAACCGCAGCTCTGTATAACTTCGAGATGGTATACACATATGACTCCCTGCTGCTACCCGGACAGATTCGACTTCTAAAAATCATTCCTGGAACTCAGAATGTCGTAGTTTCGAGCCAGATGAGTGTTACCCACCTTGATGACAATCCAATATACAAATGTCTGTCATATACCTGGGGCGAACCTGGCGGAGATGAAACGGATGAGACTTGGTCACGACCGACTCAGGCTATCCTTATCGATGGGATTGAGATGCATGTCAGACAAAACCTTTACAATGCGCTCATTGCACTCCGTCAATCCGGAAGTCTTGGACCCATATGGATAGATGCTCTTTGCATTAATCAAAACGATATAGAAGAACGAAACACCCAAGTTGCACAAATGGCAAATATCTATAAGAATGCCGAAGAAGTCATCGTCTGGCTCGGTCATGAAAGAGAATACACCCAGACAGCAGTGGCTTGCTTTCAAAGGCTACCCATCACCCGACAAGAACTCCTTTCAGATGAGCATATCGTCCTGAGAGACAAAGTATTCGCGTCGTGCAGCTTCACAGACTCAGAACTGCTAGCCATGACTCGTTTCTTCACTGACCATGCTTGGTTTGGACGGACATGGACACTTCAGGAGATGTGGCTGGCTCGAGAAATGACATTTGTGTGCGGGACAGTCTATGCTTCTGTTGATGTTATCCTTGCTGGAAGCAGTATTGCACATGATTCTTACTCGTCGAGGAGTGTTACGGAAGATATCCAAAGGACACCAGCAATTACGTGGCTGATGAACTTCACCTACGACTTGATAGCTAAATTGAAGAAGGAAGTTAATGGGACGTCCCCTTCGCCGCTTGGGTTTGAAGTGGACTATCATCGTGCGAGGCATGCTACAGATCCTAGGGACAAGGTTTATGGCCTGCTGGCAATATCTGGTAACCTTTCCCCATATCAAAACAAAATGACCTGGCTAATGAATGTCAGATACGACCACGGCAGATACTTACATGAAACCGGTAGTTGCTGACTATTCAAAACCGGTCCAGGAGGTATTCTCGATAGCTGCAGCACATTGTCTACTCAACACAATAGGCTGGCGAGGCTTAAGCTATATCGGAGACCGCAGTAGGTACCGCATCCCTAATCTTCCATCTTGGGTTCCGGACTATACACAAGCTATCCCTTGGAGACTTCTTCAGCGACGAAGTGAAGATACTTTCACGACAGCAACTCACCAACAAGTCTGCATCGAGTACGATATCACCTCGCCATACATCTTACACACCCCATATTGTTACTTCGACACGATTGCTGCCGTCACAACTGCATATTGGGAAGATGTCGAGGGATGTTCTCAGATGATTGAAATTTTGAATCTCGCTTTGAGCCCATTTCCTGTCAAGACGTTCGGAGAAGACAATGTCCTGTCAGTAATGGCCAGAACCTTGACGGCTGACCAGGCAGGAATATATGACTATGATTCATATGATTTTGTTGGTCAGTTTGGAGAGATGACATATGGCATGCTAGGGCTGAGCATTTCAGAGACGAACCCAGATATGGTATATCAACTACTCGAAAACACCGAGGCCAGTCTTTCCAGAGCTTTGTTTTTGATAGGAATTCGGGACCATGGAGACTTGCTGCCAAGTTTACTACATCCTTATCGACAAACATACAAAACAGTGCGACAAATCGAGTTGGAATCTCAGCCCAGCAGGTCTCAAAATCAGAGCCTGAAGACTCGAACCTCGTTGATACAGCTTGATTGGAGTTCTGCATCCCACAAAAGAAGTCTTTTTCGGACGAAGAAAGGACATCTCGGGCTTGCACCCCAGACTATTCAGGTCGGCGACGAAGTGGGCATATTACAAGGCGCTGAAGTTCCCCATGTATTTCGTCGAGATTCGGGTGCAGATACGTCGTTGAACTTAGTTGGGGATGCTTATGTTTATGGGATTATGAATGGAGAATTGGAACTTGGGGAACTGGAGTTCAATAGGGTTCAACTTGTTTAGACGAAGGGCATGGCTTGGCGATACAACCTCTGAATACGTGTTGCGGCGCCACGGCCGAGCTGTCAGATGTCACTGACGTGGACGGCTTCACCCGAGTACGACGTGGACGAGGTGACGCGAGCGCCAAGTTATCAATTAAGCTTAATTATATCGTTGCACGTGCGAGATGATACGAAAAACAATGCCTTGTGTTGCGTATGCAAGGTTTGGACATGGGTTGGGGCCATCTTTATGTGCAATTGAACAATAATTGGGAAATTCGAGCTCTCATAGTAATCGTACGTAACAAGAAATGGTATCAAAATATTCACATAAGTCCAATGCCTTCGTATACGTGCAATTCCCTCTCCGTCGTGACGTGATCTATGATTTCATCTCATAAGTCGTGATTTTGCATGACGTGCTAATCATATCCATACGCCGTAACTCCTGTCCTTATCGGACCTGACCTATTCTGGTCAATTGAATTGATGCATTGTAAAAGCATCATGAGGTATTGAAGCGAAGGTTGCTATGTTGCAAACGCTTATTGTCGTGTCGGTCGCGCAGCACTTATACGTAATAACGTGTGCCGCGATCAGTTCCATAATATCCAGGCGATCGTCCACGGCGATGACTGCGGGATCTCGAGTCTCTAACAACAATTGGAGGGGGTGCTGAGATGCTTGATCGATGCGATCGTCTACTTCGAGAGCGATGATGATGTCGTCGAGGCTCTTCCTTGTAGTGATACCACTTCTCCCGTTCTTGAGGTGGTGCGCCCAAATTGAGACACGACCGAATAACCCAAAGAAGAAGAAGAAAGCCAGCAATCGAACCAATGACGATACCGGCAATTGCGCCTCCGCTCAATGTTTGGGCACTGTTGCCATTATCGCCGGACGAAGTAACAGTAACAGTCTCGGTGTTTTGCCGAGCCACTAGAGTTGGAGGAGGAGACAATGTTGGAGAAGAGAGGGCTCTGGTGAGGATGGCACCCAAGCCGAGATCTTGCGGGGAACTGAGCGGAGCCATTGATCACGACGATGACAATGAGAGAGTGATGAGACGAGTGCAAGGTGGTCAATTTTGATGTGGGATGCAGCTCGGTTTAAGTACAGCCTCTAGTGTCAATTAATGAGTGATTTAGCAAACCCAATTCTCATCAATGGGAGGCTGGGATAACATAACATAATGGATGAACTATAAATGAGAGGTTTTGGACGTCATAACATCATCAACATGGACAAAATGTCTGTCATCACCGATCTCACTGCAACTCCCCTCTCACACGAGACCTTTTAGAACTCTACCTTAATCCTAGTACCTGGTCTTGGCTGGTAGTGTCTACTTAACCCTTCCGGTTAATGTGTCAGTCTCATTGTGGTAATTGATTGCCATATTTATGACGTCTACAGCTCTTTGTTCTCAGCCATATCCTTGCTCGTTTCGACTTAGCTCGGCCACCCAATTCAAGAAACTTGGTTAATTGATGCGCTAAAAAACGGCAGTGCCTGGAATTGATCCAAACGTAGGAGCTTTTGTTACGAAACTTTCGTCCCATTGGCTCGTGTTTTCTTTTTTATGCTTGCCAATTGGGCCGAGGCTGATTGACATTCAAAGGAATCAAAGGCTTATCCACATTCACATTCATGGATGAGATTCAGCTGAGCAATTGCATGTGTTGCTGAATGCTTGTTAATTCGAACTACCGAGGTTCATGCAATATTTATCTCGTTTTATATCCGAGACATCCGATCTTATCATATGAGCCTCTATGAGGTGGCTGGTTCGATATCGTGAAAGAATTGGCGATGAATTTTCAACGACATGGTCAGAGCGCTCAAACACAAGAACAGTCTTATAATAGAAATTTTATTCTAACAGACCTCTTCATTCGGTGGAGCCATTCGATGTGTTTAGTCAATGTCCAGTTTCACCTCTGAAATCATCATTTTGTAAGCTGGCTATCAAACATATCTTGGAGTACAAAATTCGGAACATGAGAACTCTTACATCTCAAGGACAGTCAGTTGGAACCTAATTCATTATAAACTACATAATAGCTATGAGAGACTTGATTTTGATGTTTCTCAGCTGTTATCGACGTTAATCTAGCCTCTATTATCGCTACACTGATGAATATCATTCCTCATGATTGTTCCCATTATGCCACTGGAATTAGAAGCTACTATATGAGTTGAAATGATAAGTTGACTTGTCCTTGACTTATTTTTATCCACTGAGAGACGAGCTAATATCATTTAAAGCAAGAAACCTGAAGCAACTTCCTACAGCAACAACTTATATCATAGTTACATACATGCAGCATTCAAACTATCTAAATAGCTCAAGCGATTTATATACCAGTCTAACAAAGTTGAAAGCCTTTCAGCAAATCATATATTATCATATCATACTTTGTATGAATCAGACAATGTCACGATTCCCGACAGTCGGGAATTTCCCGACTGATCACAGTATCAGAACGTGCTACCATGACCAAGCAAATCGCTACAGGAGGTTATTACAGCTGTGAATATAAAATAACATATATCCTTTCTACGACTTTTGATATGACTAGACCCAGGTTTAGACCTGTTGAAATCTGTCTCATAAGAAAAAGAGAGAGAGAAAAACGGAAATCAGTATTTCGCTGGTAAACAGATTACCTTCAATCAGTATTATGCCTCTCACTGTCTCTATAGAAACACTATCGGAAGGACATAGTGATAAGATCCGTAGATAGGCTTTCAGGCCTTATTTCACTCTTTCCTTAACCATGTTCAAGATCAATACTAACGTGTACAAATCTATGTGGAGCGCGGTAAAGCGCGGCTATGAACGCGGACCGAATAAAGCACCAATAGACTCACATTCCGCCATTCCGGCTAACATTACTAAAATGAGGGTCCTTTGTAAACGACATGGTCATGAGGTTCCATGTTGGTGGGGAGATTCTTGTAGATTAAAGGGCGCTGGATATCTATAATTTTTGATAACGAACACTCTTGACCTTTATTGATCTAAACCACTATCACCACACAATATCGTCATTATGACTCGAACATATCGAATTGCTGTTCTGGAGTGCGATACGCCTTTTCCTTCTGTTAATGAAAAGCGCGGCTCTTATGGAGACATCTTTCGTGATCTTCTAACCAAGGGTTTGAAGAATGAAGCACTTGGTGATAAGGGCAAGGATGTGAGCCTTGACCTCAGCAAATGGGATGTTGTCACAGCTCAAGAATACCCGAATATCGAGGATGCTGATGGTTTCTTGTTGACTGGAAGCAGTAAGTTTCTTTATCAAGTCGTATCTGCAAAGCTAACAGGGTACAGAACATACATCTTTCGCTGATGACCCTTGGATTTTGAAGCTTGTTGAGTTTGTCAAGAAGGTTTATACGACGACTGAGAAACCCATTGTTGGAATCTGCTTTGGCCATCAAATCATTGGCAGGGCTCTTGGTGCAAAAGTTGCGGTGAGCCCTGGTGGATGGGAGGTTTGTGTTGATAGAATCAACCTCAACGAGACCGGCCAGAAGCTATTGGGTGTTTCGTCTCTCGTAAGTACCACCAAGCCTTTCTATAAGACGTCACTGACAGAATAACAGGGCCTTCATCAAATGCACCGCGATGCAGTCCTAGAAGTTCCTGAAGGTCTGGTCAGTCTCGGCAGCAGCTCAAGGTGTGAGGTTCAAGGACTCTACAAGCCTGGGCGTATAATTTCGTTCCAGGCTCATCCTGAGTTTGACGATTTTATCATGCAGGAGATTATGGAGGCCAGATATGCCCAGCAGATCTTCTCAAAGGAGATGTATGAGGAGGGTATAACAAGAGCGAGGGCGCATCATGATGGACTTCTCGTGGCTGCGAAGATTTGGGAGTTCCTTCTTTAAACAATTAGACAATATAAACCGTTTTATTTGACCAAATCCAACGTAATTTACTCCACATAAGTGATAAAAAATAGTTCGACGGTGGCCTCGTTGATGTGCTCAATCTCGACAGCCACCTGGCGTAGCTAGGTGCTCATATTGAGGACAAAGGAATCGGTGGTGACGGTCATATATATGGCATCTGTATTGCATGTGCCTCAAGGACTCTATTGTTATATATCGAGGCGGGTATCTGGGATTAATAGTGTCCTTTCATGCAAAAGAGATCCAGATCTGACGCTCACGCATCGCTCTACACAGCGTCCAAGGACTGACTTGATCCGGGGGCTGCTCCCAAATATGCTCCAGCAATACTAATGTCTGTCTCATATTTCCCAATCCAATTGTGTCTAACATAGTTTGCAATCGCGTCCTCAACACTTGCTGGACTGTAGGATCTGACGTGCTACACCCGATAACGGCGAGTGGCCAGCAAAGACTCGTATTTATCCTGACCGAGGCGGGGAATTGATCAAGTAATGTGACTGCTTCAGCGACGGCCGATTCTACCAATGCTCGTTGGAAGCTGCCTTCAGGTTGCTGATGGGGTTTGCCGAGGACGGTCCAGAGATATAAAAGGGCAGCTTGTTTCCAGACCAATCCAGCAAGACGTGTATATGGCGTGACAGAAGGGTCTGGAAAGAAGCCCATTACTTGAGATTGAAGGAAAGCGAAGTTGACAATGTTGTCGGGGCTTGGTGAAATCTCTCCATCGACAGTCGGCGAAGACATTACTTGCCCAAGGTGAAAGATCTGGGAGATAAGAATGAGGATTTCGAGCCAGCAGCCACATAACTGGCCGACATACTTCCTCGCGACTAAATTTCTGGCCCGGACTTCAATGTCAGGGCTGAGTAATGACTGCGAGTTGTACTGAGGATCAATCGAGATCATGCTGGTGGCTGCGATATGCATGTAGTACTCGATTAGAAAGTCTGGCAAGTCGTCATATACCATATTCTGCGTCCCTGTGAGTAATGTGCTCACTAATGACTTGGACGCTGTTAAATGATCAAATATTGTGCCGTGAATGTCTCCTTTGGCAACCTGTAACATGTTAGTCAATGATCATGTAATGAAGTGAGCGGTACCGACCTCAGTTAAACACATAATGAGACTACCGACGGTCAAGACGAGGGTGTTCTCGGCGTTTCCAGATACATACTCATCGACAACGTTCCTAAACATCCTTAACGAGTCGGTGTAATATCTCTGTGCGATCTCATCGCTTGGATGTCTCTCTGCTGATGCTTGACGATGGGCAGCACTCTGAGCTAGGATGAGTTGTAGCACAAGAGGTTTTGAGAAGGCCAATGGTATAAGCTTGGCGATGAAAGGGTTGACGTCTGTGGACCCATTGCCCATGCTATTGGCCGTCCGCGATAGGTAGTAACTGAGGAGCTCATATGACTGATGTCCTTGCTCAGGTAACATCGACATTGGCATCGTAATAGCTCCATTGAATGAGAGTCCTGTGTCTGGGGAGGGCGGCAGAGCGAGAGTGAGAGCATTGGCGGTATCTGCATCCCATGTTGTGATGACAGTCGGTGAGTCTGATGAGTTAGATGACTGTGATGGAGATAACTGATCAACATCATCAACAGCTTCAATGATATCCACATCAGCTTCAGCATCGACCATGTGGGTGTCCCCTTGCCCATGCACCGGAGAACTGTCGCCATTCTGGGGTACATCGGGATTCTCAGCAGCTCGGTCCTCCTCCGGCACCGGGTCCGGTATCACCGGGTCATTCACCGAGTCCGCATCCTGACCCTGTCTCAGCGAAGCAACACTCTGCTGTGAGCTTGTAGATGCAGCACCAAATGAAGACCGTGATGGTCCCTTGACAGGCTGTGGTTCAGGCCAGATACAGTCGAGCTTATTGCGTTTGCAACCGCTGCAGATTGGTTTACTACATTATCACGTAAGCCAGGTCAAGAGCACTGTCTGGAGAGTGGTTTATAGTACCTCTCGTCGCACTTCTTTTTGCGCTTCCTACAGGTAAAACAGCCCGTCCTACTGCGGATTATAGGCACGGGACGCATTGAGGGGTTTGGGGTTGGGTTTGTTGGTGACGGTGACATATTGAGCCCTCTTTTTTTGCCACCGAAAAGACTCGGTGACAAAGCAAGTGGATTGCTTGGCTTTGTGTGGGAAACAAGCAGTACAATACAGCGCGGTTAGAGGTGAACACAGGCACAATCAATCAGGTGCAATGCAAATCGGATGGAGGCTCCGGAATAAGCGAG